TCATATTTATTTTTCGACATGCGTTTACATTTGAGTATTGGTTTGAACATTAATCCACGCGACATTTTGAAAAAAATGCATACTAGTATTCCTGGCGGTTTTAAAAGGCCGAGAAAGTATCCTTGACGGTTTTGAAAATATATACTAGTTTTCATGATGATTTTCAAAGCGTCGAGAATCTTGACAGTTACTTGTAGAAACATATATGTCAGTCTTTTTCTTGGCGGTTTAGAACCGTCAAGTATACATTTTGTGACGTCATTTATGTGTTTCCTCACGGTTTGTATAATTTGTTGTTTACAAGTATGATAATAAGAGCAACTCCAATGGAGAGGTATTAAAATGAAGCATCAAACACTCAATTGATGCTTGAGATAATACTTTGATACTTTTAAAAAACTCATATGCTCGCTCCAACCCATAGGCATTACATAAATTATTATCCATTTTTCATTGAAATTTATTGAGATTTTATTTATTTATTTTTTTCCCCTTGAATTTGCTAGAGCTATTTTTAAGGAATATATGGTTCCTCTTTTTTTTTGATGCATTTTGCACCTCTAGGAGATTGAATATCAAATTAACTACCACTTAATGTCTCCATTGGAGTGAAATATTTTCACTTTGGGGAATCAAAATGATAGTTTTGGAATTTAATACTCCATTTGATTCTCCCATTGGAGATTGCTCTGAGCGTAGTAGTGGGATACGGAAAAATCCGAACTATTCGCCATATTTAATTTATTCAATTGGATGTCGTTCACTAGGTTACAAGAGTCAAAAACATGAAATTCAGATAGTTATTTGACAGAAAAGAGCAAAAAGGAAAAAAGCAAAAAGAAAAAAGGAAAAACACCACCAAAAAAACCTGAGTTCATCCATTTGAGACCAAACCTTCGCTCCCATGTTTCCTCTGTTCCTATTAAGAAAACCAAAAATCTTAGTATGAATCGAAGCAACCCGATTATACGAAACATATAAAACTATACCATATAACAAATTAAAATTTGATTAGAGAGTGATTGAGTAATTAAGAAGAAAAGAAAAATCAAGAAACAATATATATATATATATATATATATATATATATATATATATATATATATATATATATATATATATATATATATATATATATATATATATATATATATATATATATATATATATATATATATATATATGTTCCCCTACCTTTTCATTTTCTTGATAATTCTTGCAATCAACACGCAAATTAATGCAGTCACAGTTCCTAGTAACAGCCCAAGCAAGTATAAAAAAATACATTTAACTACTACGTATGAACCCATATATCTTGAGAGAGAGAGAGAGAGAGAGAGAGAGCTAGCGGTGCTAAATTTTACACTTGAACACCCCCTTAATAAATAAGATAGAGAGGGGTAAATATGGATAGTTGTCAGTAAACTTGTACATCCGCCATTTTTAGGGCTTGGTAGACCAGTCTTCCAATTTCCTCATTCAGCCATGCAGCCTTTTGCATGGAATATTGACCTTTTGTCCAAATTAAGTTTGGTGGTCCACGCGCTCAAGGTCATTGTTTACTCGTACAATTAGACGGACTTTCTCGATCATCATAAGCTTTAGGGTAAATTACGGTCACCCTTGAGGTAAAGTTAAATTACGAAGAAAAAAACCTAAAATGTTTTGGTAATTAGAATGAATCTCCTTACACGCCCATCTTTGCGGTTTTAAATTCGGTAGAATCTTCTAAATAATGTTGAATATTCTGCAGTTTGTACCCGTTTTACCTCATTCGAGCTTCACATTTTGAAACAAGATGATTATACGCTGTGTCTCTTGGCTAGAAAATATCTGATTGTGGTGTGTGAGAAACTGCATTTTTGCACAAAATAGGTACAAATTGTAGAATATTCCCCATAATCTAGAAGATTCCACGAAATTTAACACCGCAAGAGTGAAAATATAAAAAAAAAAATCCTAGTTAAAGGGTGATTATAACTACCCAAACAGTACAAGCTTTTCATAATTTAACATTACCACGGGGATGACCGTAATTTACCCTAACATTTAGTACTAAAATATTATGTTATGCCCTTTTTTATTGAAAAAAAATCATAAAGGTTTATAAAAAAAATAAAAAAAATAAAGAAAACAAACCAAAAGGAAAAAAAGTTGGTAACCTGTCACTTTTCAGTCTGTATGTTATTTTCAGTTTTCACTTTAATTGAAAATAAATTTTTAAAGGTTCTACCTAGTGGTGGAAATTGGACAAAATAGATCCAAAATGGTTTTTCCGAAAAAGTTTTAATTTTTTTCAAAAGTAAAAAACGGGTTCCAATTTCCGTTCCAAAAAATTGGAATGCAAAAATTCATTCCGATTACGCAACGGAATCGGCGTAATTTCAGTAATTTCGGAAATTACATTAGTTTGTAATCACTTGTTCCAAATTTGGATATAATAAAAAAATTCACAATATTTTTCTATCTTTTTAAAATTTTGCAAGAAAATGCAAGAAAATCCAAAAAAGAGTTCGACAAAACCCAATAATTAAAAACACATGAAGGAACAACAAATTGAAATATAGATTTTCGTATAAGAAAAAATGCAACATAAAGTTTCTGATATCAATTAATCTTTTCTAAGCTTTTAATTTATTTGACCCTTCCGTAGGTATATTTTTCATATGAAATATAACATAAGTTATATGATGGAATTACAAAATATATCATAAAATTATATTATATATTTCAAAAAACAATAGAAATATTTGTCCCTGTCGGAAACAATGGACATTGACAAACCGTGTAACTTTACCACCCCACAAATAAATATGTTGGCCACATCTTTAGCCGTGAAAGGGTGAGCCAAGGTTAAGAAATGAGCATATTTTGACAATCGATCCACAACAACCAAAATTGTATCTTTTCCACGCGATCTCGGCAAACTCTCGATGAAATCCATGCTAATATCTGACCAAATTAACTCGGGAATGGTAAAGGTTCCAATAACCCAGCTAGTTTACGCAAATCTGCCTTGTTCCGTTGGCACATGTCGCACTCTCGAATAAACCTCTTGACATCGCTACGCAACCCTTGCCAATAAAATATTTGTGAAATCCGCTTAATGGTTTTAAGAACACCCGCGTGGCCTGCTGAGGGAGAACAATGGAACTCCCGCAATAATTTCTCGCGAAGGGGCAACACTTCAGGCAGCACTACTCGCCCTTTGAACCACACACATCCATTGCGCCACTCATGCCCCTTGGAACTGAGTGGATCTGCCTTCAATTTTTGTTGCAACTCTTTAAGTTGCGGATCTCCACGAGTTGCTCGAGCGATTTCATGCCAAATATCCCCATTTGGTAGCGTGATTGCCCGCAATTCATCCTCCGTCTCTTGATGAACCTCGGACATGTTGAGGTTCTCGTCGTCTAGTTGTTCACGGCGAGATAGAGCATCGGCTGCCCCGTTCTCTTTTCCGGGCTTGTATACTATCTCGAAATCAAATCCCAAAAGCTTGGCTATCCATTTCTGTTGTTCCAGGGTTGTGATTCTTTGCTCGAGCAAACAACGTAAGCTTTTATGGTCGGTGCATATTTGAAACCGTCGCCCAAGTAAATAAGGTCGCCAGCTCCGGACCCCTTCTAGGATTGCTAACATTTCTTTCTCATAAGTCGACCATGCTCGTTTTTTCTCGTCGATTTCCTTGCTAAGGAATGTTATTGGACGTCCATTCTGACTCAAGATTGCACCAATACCATTCCCCGATGCATCTGTCTCTATAACGAATTTTTCGGCGAAATTCGGTAAAGCCAATACAGGTGTGGTCGTCATTGCAAGTTTCAGCACATCGAAAGCCTTCTCTGCTGCATCATTCCACATGAATTGCCCTTTTTTAAGGAGATTAGTCAGCGGTCGCGCTATCGTTCCATAGTTCTGTACGAATTTACGGTAATAACCCGTTAACCCCAAAAATCCACGCAACTCTCTTACTGTAGCTGGTTTCGGCCACCCCACCATGGCTTGCACTTTTTGTTGGTCCACACGAACTCCATCTCGAGATATCCAGTGGCCCAAATACTCAACTTGTCGCTGCCCAAAGCAACACTTACTCGATTTGACGTAAAATTGTCCCTTCCTCAATATTCCAAAGGTCGTATGCAAATGTTTCAAGTGGTCGTCCCAATTGCTACTGTAGATCAATATATCGTCAAAAAAAAAACGAGGATCAATCGCCGCAAGTATGGTCGAAAGATTTCATTCATGGCAGCTTGGAATGTCAATGGTGCATTACACAATCCGAACGGCATCACCAAATATTCATAGTGCCCATTGTGTGCCCGAAATGCAGTCTTGTAGGTATCGTCAGGGTGAACGCGTATTTGATGATATCCAACCCGAAGATCTAATTTGCTAAAAAATTCTGCACCATGAAGTTCATCCAACATATCGTCAACCGTTGGAATTGGAAATCTGTCTTTGACACTGACTTCGTTTAATTTTCTGTAATCTGTACAAAAATGCCAAGATCCATCCACTACGCCAAAATCCATTTCAGGCGACGAAAATTTGCGACGAAAAAAGCGTGTTTGCAACGAAATGTTTTTTTTGCGACGAATATTTTGCGATGAAAGGGACGCAAAAAAAAGTCAAAAAAGTGACCGTCGCAAATTTGTGCGACGAAATGTAAAAATAGTCGCACTATTTGCGACGTTTCAAGAGAAAAGTCACAAACCTTCATTTTTTTCGTCAAGGCAGATACTGCGACGGAAATGTTAGGAATCGTCGCAATTAGTTGCGACGTTTGCACAAAATCGTCGCAATGTTTGGCTTTACATTTGCGACATAAAATATATAAATCGTCGCAATAGTTTGTTGTATATTGCGACGAAAAATTATAAAACGTCACAAATCTATAATTTTTTTTAAATTACTGATTTTATTTGTTTAATTAATAGTTAATTATCCTGTAATTATGAACAATACCAATAAAATTAATTCATCAAATACACAAAAGCATGAACAACTGAAATTTTATATCCTTAAGTTAAATCATCCAACAATAAAAATAAATCATCCAAATATGAAATTAAAATACACAAAATGTTAATGTCGTAGGCTTGTAGCATTACAAATAGAAGATCAGTTGATCTCAATTTTCTCCTTCATCTTCATAAGAGTTAGTTGCCGACAAAGGAATATTGTTGTCCACTCTCATTCGCACAAATTGCATAGTTAAGGAGTGCTCAATCAATATTCAATCCTTAAAATTCATATATGATCCTTGAATCTTGCAGTTAGCAGATAATAAAGAAAGACGTAGCATGAGGAAATAATATGGAAACGACGAATAGCTATATGAAGCAGTAACAACCTTGAATGACTCGTTATCTTTCCTGAAGCTAATCGAAAATCCCCTACACATATTGTAGCAAAAACAAGAACATGGTGAGTGAAATATAAATAACTATCATACAACTAAGAACATATATAAAAATATTTTCAATTACATAAGTTGACAAGTTCTCATTCTGCACAAATATATAGCCTAATACAGCTATTCGCATATACCAATGCACATCATATTAACAAAAGTTTTGCATCTGATCAACAAAATACATCATATGCAAGTCTAATACCCAAAAGTTTTGCATCTGAAAACATATTTTTTCACACAAGAACCATTTGTCCCAAAATAATTATTTTCGACAACTTTTCAGTCCCTTCATGTAGCTAGCCGACATATAAGTAGTTCATTTACAGTGAACAAAATCAACCTTAAACCAACCATGAGTTGTTCTACTCACATGTTTGTATCAATAAAATCTTCATTAATAACCACGAACCTTTAGACATGACAATTAATAATCAACGAACTTACATTGGCTACACCGGCTATAAAACTGATGCAATAGTTTTTCTTCCATTGCTATGTCCGAAATCCCTTGAACGGAACTTGAAATACTTAGATAAGGTAGTGAAACCTCGATGTTGTTAGCATGGGGGACAATGGTTTTCTTTCGGAGAGGAAAGAGGGAGTTGAGAGTGCCTTGACATGCTAAAGTTTAAAATCTGCTGAAGATTAGAATTTCATGCTATTATATTTTTTTTTCCTTGATATATGTTTAAAACATAATAAAACAAGCATAAGTTTTTATATTGTCTAATTGCTGCAAACAGTAAAATGAAGAAAACCAAGAGTCAAGAATATGATAATTAGTAACTAAACAAACGAAAAACAAAAAAACCATATTAGATGCTATAGCATATATGCATCAAATGTATATACATTTAATTGCCAGAGAAACTTCAAGTCCGTAGTAATAGACAATTCAAGAAGATTGATGCATACACTATCTACAAAAATTACTATTTAAACCATCATAATCATTAAGAGCCAAGAAACAACAATAGTTGTTTTATTTTGGAATAATGAAGTTTTTAGATTCATAATGCAAATACAAAAAATGTCATGAGAAAACAAATGAAGACAAATTCACCAAATTTAGAAAGCAAACGAATCAAGAGAAAGGGAATTGCATTGTCAATCGTAGGCTCATAAACATTATAAAATACATACAATTTCAATTAAATGAACTTATTATCGGCACAAATGTATTCCGTAACTATGAAATTATTTGAGAAAAAATTGAAACCTTACCACCAAGGTAAAGAGCAGACGCAGCGGGGAACGAGTGGTTCGCGACAATGAATAGTAAAGCTCAAAGAATTGGTAATGTACAGCGGCGAGCAGCGAATGGCGTGGCGTGGCAGTGTGCAACAAAAAACGGTGAAATCCAACTACTAACCTGGGAAATCGGAAAAAATTACAAGTTTGTCATATAAGATTTCAATCCAACTAACAAACCATGTCCATTTATCAAATACCAGTAAGACACATTAAAAAAAAAAAACAAGACAAAAAAAACCAAAAAAATAAAAATTGAAAAACAGTAGAGAACCATAAATTAAAATAGTTGGTTTTGCAAATGTAAGCCACAATATATTAATTTTGGAAACAAAAAATAATAATAACCCCAAATAAAATATATGAAAAAAATATAGGAAAGAAAAAAAAATAGTAAGATCATACCAATTGATTAGCGTCGGCGGAGGTGTGACAACGGAGGTGGCGCGGCGAAGGGCGAAGGTGGCGTTGTTGTGGGCTCCTGATGCATCGGAGAAGGGCGAAGGTGCGTTGGCGAAGGGCGGAGCAGGCGTTGGTGTGGGCTCCTGGTGCCTCGGAGAAGAGCGGAGGTGGCGTCGTCGAAGGGCGGAGCAGGCGTTGGTGTGGGCTCCTGGTGCCTCGGAGAAGAGCGAATGTGGCGTCGGTGAAGGGCGGACGCGTCGTCGTTGGCAGAGTGCTGTGAGAAATAGTGAGAGAGTGAGAGGGGTAAAGGAGAGAGGAGAAAATTAGGGCAATAAGGATTTTTAATAATTAATAAATTGCGACTTTTAAATACAAACGTCGCAGGCTTGAATTAAGTTTGCGATATTTATCTTAATTTTGCGGCTTTAAATAAAAATGTCGCAAATAACGTCGCAAAATTCTGATTCTACTTGCGACGTTTTCAATATAAACGTCGCAAGCTTGAATTAAGTTTGTGATTTTTATCTTAATTTTGCGACATTAAATAAAAATGTCGCAAATAACGTCGCAAAATTCCCATTCTACTTGCGACGTTTTCAATATAAACGTCGCAAGCTTGAATTAAGTAGGCGATTTTTATCTTAATTTTGCGACTTTAAATAAAAATGCCGCAAATAACGTCGCAAAATTCCCATTCTACTTGCGACGTTTTCAATTAAAACGTCGCAATATATTTTTGGTAAATAAACTTTAATTTTTTTTTCCATTGCGACGTATTAGAATATTATTGACGCAAGTTTGCGACGATAATTTCATTTTCGTCGCAAATATTGAAGTGAAATATTAGCACTTAATTGTGCGACAATATTTTGCGACGAAACTATTTATTGTCGCAATAATTTCTATAAATATATAATTTCCAATTTTTTTGCGACGATTTTTTACAAAACAGTCGCAAATCGTGCGACGAATATTGTTTCGTCGCAATAAAAAAGTCGCCTGAACTGCATTTTGGCCTAATGATCCTTCTTTCGTACTAATAAAACTGGCGACTAGAACGGACAATTACTATGCCGAATCAGCCCCGACTCGAGTAATTCCGCTACCTGCTTCTCTATTTCATTTTTTTGAATGTGAGCATCTCTATACGGTGGAACGTTCACCACTTTTGACTCGTCGGTAAGAGGGATACGGTGGTCGAACTCTCTCGGTGGTGGTAATGTTTTTGGTTCCTCATGTACATCAGCAAATTCCTCCAGAATTTTTTGTATGGCTTTATTTTCTGAGGGTTTAATTGATTTTGGTTCATATTGGTGAATCGATGTAAGCCCAAATAGTTCTCCACCTTCTTCCCAATCTGCCAAAATTGAATTCACGTCACTCTGCTCAATTTATTTCCTCGTACGTCCCTTAATGTGGTTTTCTCGATCCCCTTTGTAGAACCACATCGACCTAGCACGATAATCTGTTAGAACAGGCTCGAGGGATTCTAGCTAAGGCAAGCCGAGTACGACATCCAAGCCAATAATCGGAAGAGAAAATATAGTCGTTTCAAACGCATATCCTTGCAGCTCCATAGGTACCTTTACAAACTTCTCACAACATTCTAACTTCCCCCCATCCGAATTCGAGTTTCGGTCCTTCCCTAACAAACCCGCGAGGCGCATCGTAGGGGCCCCTGTTTCTTCCCCCAATGCGTTTAATGAAATTTGGGGTTCGTCTTCAAAGTCCTCTTCTTCATTTTTCTGCATTTCAATCAATAATGCTTGTGCGCGTTTACATCGATGCCCCTCGTAGCAGTTGTAGCATTTTTTTTTTCTCTCTGTTGTTGCAACTCATCCCACGATATTCGCTGTGTCTCCCCTGTCAGCGGCGGTCGACTAGAATTACTTGTCGTTGGCGCCCCTCTCCCTGCTAGGCGATTACCCGAATTCCAATTTCGTGTTGAATGTAATTGTTTATCCTTTCTCTTGGCCAATTCGATAGCAGTTTGCAAATCGTTTGGTTTAAATAGCCGAACATCACTCGCTATTTCTTCTCGGAGGCCAGCCATAAAGGCTCCCATGAGTGTCTTTTCTCCCCACTTCGGCAAACAATTCATGAGGCGTTCGAATTCTCCTAAGAATTCACAAAATCGTCCTCTTTGACGAAGACGACATATTGACTCATTTGGATCTTCATAGTCTCCGTGCCCAAATCGGAGAAGAAGTCCCTTTTCGAAGTGTTTCCACGAAATTCGACGATCTCGATTTGCTCGCTCGAACCACTGCCACCTTGATTGGCATCCTCTTCTAGATTAAATGACGCTAATGTAATCTTTCTTGTACCGTTGATTTCGTTGGCCAAAAAAAATTGTTTTGCCCGACTGAGCCAAACCCTCGGTTCCTCCCCAACAAACCTTGGAAAATCCATTCGTATTTGATTCCTCCGTCTGTCCCTAAATTCGTGACCCCTCTGTCCCGACGCTCGACTTATCACTGAGTCGTTGAAAGCATGACTCCTCTCGCTATCTTCCCCTTCGGTCGACGTGTTCGTCGGCGAACGACTGTTCCGTGTGCCCCAAGGATTACGCAGATTGCGTTGTTCTCACCCTTTCTCCATTAACTGTTGCATCGATGTCTTTATTTCTTGGATGGAATTCTCCAACAATTCCAATCTTTCTCTGTAAGTTTCCATCGTTCAAGCCGGTATTGATGTTATCGCAACGTGGCTCTGTATACCAATTGATACTATCTCGTGGTAAAAGAAGAATATATTGTTGTAGATGAAACTTCAAGTTCCATTTTTGCATAAAAAGAAAACCAACTCCTACAATAGTTCCCATTAATACATTAACTTCTCTACAATAATTACCCATAATCTAATAATAACTACTAAACAAAATATAAGTAAATAAATAATAATATTTAATTAAACTTCTCTCGTGCATATCATTCTAGCCATCTGTTAAATAGCGTGGATTGGGTTTTGGCTTGCGAGAACTACGCCTAATCGTATCACAGTGATGGAACATATTTGATGGAGTGAAGTGGGATTGGACGGATCTGACGGAGTAAAGTGGTGTTAAATGGATTTGACGGGATGAAGGCGAGATGAAGAATACAGGACTTTAAGCAAATTAACAAAACCCATCTACCTGTCTTGATTTGAAAGAGAATTAGTACCCAGGATATTTAGCAAATTGCCCCAAAAATAAAACAGTGATTGTCCACAAATTATTATTTTTGATGGGTTTCTTTATGATCAATTGTACACCAAACTAATGATCAATTTGAGATGGTTCTAAATACAACGGTTCTTTCATGTTTCCCCCTATCTCTCTCAATATTGCACATGTTCAGACTACAACAAGTGGAAATTGGAAAGAAAATTATGAGCTCAACCCATTTCGATCCCAAATTATCCAATTTTGGAACACTGTTTTCATTCCGACTTTCGGAAGTTTCGATTCCAATTATTTCGATTTTACTTTCCAAAAATATTTCCAAGAACTCCAATTTCTTTTTTGAAAAATCACACTTATAATATCAATCTTATTATCTATTTATATATTATAATTAACTAAAATGTTAGAATTTCCAAATTTTACCGATTACAATCTAAAAAGTTTCGATATAATCATACAGGGAACACTTTTTTTTCATTTCAATTTGTGAAATTCCACTTTCTAATTTTCCCAATATCTTTTGGAACGTAATTGGAGTTGGATTTCCACTTTTTTTTTAGAAAAAAAAAACAAAAATTGAAAATCTTCTGAAAGTTTCCGATTCCAAGCCCCTAATTCGGACTCTAACAATCCGACCCGACCCGACCCGACCCGACCCGAACCAAATAAAATAGTTGAATTGCGGAATTGAAGCTCTGAAGCAAACAGAGATGGATTTGAGTCTCCACAGCAGCATCAGAGGCATCGCCAAATGGAGAAGAAGAGCCACAATTCACCATAGTTACAGAACTCCGCTCCTCTTCACCCTCTTAATCACCTTTGCTCTCTTCTTCTCCTTCAAAACCCTAATTTCCCCTTCCCCCATCTCCTTTTCCCGTAATTCCGGACCACGATGCGCCGGTGGTGGTGGTTCTCCGGGAGAGAAATTCCTCTGGTACGCGCCCCACAGCGGCTTCAGCAACCAGCTTTTCGAGTTCAAAAACGCTGTTTTAATGGCCGCCATTCTGAATCGGACGTTGATTGTGCCTCCCATTCTCGATCACCACGCAGTTGCCCTCGGGAGTTGCCCCAAATTTAGGGTTTTGGATCCGAACGAGCTCAGATTCAAAGTGTGGAATCACAGTGTTGAGCTTATCCGCGATCGCAGGCAAGTTTCGTCATTATTTATGTTTGATTTGTATTTTTTTTTTGTTTCCTTTCCACTCACTTTGTTGAATCAGATTGCTGTTGTAAATTGCGATACTATAAGAAACTATGTTTAAATCGGCTTTCGAATCACTGTATCACGTTGTCTTTGTGATCGTAGGAAGGCTTAATTTACGCTGATTTTGATTTTGTAATCGATTACTTCAAATCGTGATCAATCAAGTGGCATTTGTGGTTGTAGGAAGGCTTAATTATTTGGGTTCCATTTTGGTTTGTTTACTTCAAGTCGTAATGAATGAAGTGGCGGTCGTTAGAATCTGACTAAGGCTTATTTATGCTGATTTGGATTTTTTAATCGATTACTTCAAATCGTGATCGATCGAGTGGCATTTGTTGTATTAGGAAGGCTTAATTATTTAGGTTCCATTTCGGTTCGTTTACTTCGAATCGTAATGAATGAAGTGGCAGTCGTTAGAATCCGACGAATAAGAAGTAGTTGTTAATTTACCATACTCTTGCTCGTTTATGTAGGCGAAGATCTTGTACTAATGTTTCCATCTTTGCCTTTGCACTTGTACTCAAACATTGAGATGCTTCGACTTGATGTTTTGTGCAGGTACATATCCATGGCCGACATAATCGATCTTTCGTCTCTAATGTCTTCTTCAGCTATCAGATTTATAGATTTCAGGGTTTTTGTGTCGACATGGTGTGGAGTGAACATCAACTCGGCTTGCGGCACAGAATCGAGTATGCTTTCTCCATTGAACGAAGAGCTGAAACAATGTGGATCATTGCTCTCTGGATACGATAGCAATATGGACTCTTCTTGTTTATTCGCTTCACAAGAAGATTGTAGAACGACAGTATGGACATACCAAACGAGTGATGACGATGGGGTTCTTGATTCTTTTCAAGCCGATTCGGAACTCAAGAAGAAAAGAAAAATTCCGTTCGTGAGGAAAAGGAAAGATGTCTATAACGCCCTTGGTCCTGGCTCTGAAGCTGGATCGGCTAAAATTCTGTCGTTTGGAAGCCTTTTCTCTGCACCGTATAAGGGTTCTGAATCTCACATCGACATCCACGAATCTCCAAGGAACCAAAGAATACAACTGTTGATTCAGAATATCGAGTTTCTTCCATTTGTGACAGAAATCCTAAATGCTGGGAAGCAATTTGCTCGTCAGGCAATTAAGGCTCCGTTTCTCTGCGCACAGCTTCGGTTATTGGATGGTCAATTCAAGAACCACTGGAAAGATACTTTCCTAGGATTGCAACAAATGTTGGACGTGTTGAAACAGACGGGCTCTCGTCCAGTTCATATATTCGTGATGACCGATCTTCCCCAGGTTAATTGGACTGGAACTTATTTGGGGGATCTGGCAAAAGATTCTGATGCTTTTAAGGTGTTTGTTCTGAGTGAGGGAGACGAGTTCGTTGCTCAAACTGCTATGGAAATTGTGAATGCAGGGCATAGTATGAAACTTCAATCGGTTTCGAGTAATTTTGATGGGAGAAAGGAGCAATGCAATCCTCAATCACTACCTGATGTACTTTTATACTTGGAAGAAAGTATATGCAGCTGTGCTTCTCTTGGTTTCTACGGTACTGCTGGGTCGACAATTGCCGGAAGTATAGAATTGATGAGAAAGAATAACATATGTTCGTGATGAAATCTTACTCTCTTGCAAGTGCACTTGTTTCTGTTTATACTTGACAAGTATAAACGAGCGAAATGTGTTTTAAAAAAAAAATTCGGCTCTTTATCTTTGAGGAAAACTTAGAAATCCAGTTGGGTAGAGAATCGACCTGCGCCAATTAGAAGCTACCAAGGGCATTTCCGTCTTTCGTGATTTCGTGATTGGGAGGTATGCTTCGTTCGCTTATGATAACGTTGTTTTACTTGATTTACACATTGTAAGAGAGATGCGTGCTCGTCTGAAGTTGTGGATTTTGTGTATTATGCTTTTCTTCGACTTTCCATTTACTTTTTTATTGTTTTTTTTCCCAGAGAGAGAGATTTGCAATGGAGTGTACAGAATCCGGATCCTTATTTTGGTCAATGTCAAAGGAGCTAACGGAACGGGACTATGTCGAGAGAATATATATTTCGTTATTTATTAATTTTGACTTATAAACGATGAAATGTGAGAACTAGTTAATCGTTTGAACCAGTTGAGGTAATAGAAACTTGGAGTTATAATTTATAGATACAGATCTTGTTGTTGTTGTTCTTCTCTCTCTCCGGTTATTTTGCTTTGTGTTGCACTAGGCTTTGCTTCTCGGTGATTTCTCAGTTTGAAAATTACCGAAAACCGCCTGAACTAAAGTATAATTACCAAAAAAAAACCCCGTAAGTTTGAAATACCGAACTAAAGTAAAATTACCTGAACTAAAGTCTAATTACCAAGGACTCCTTGAGTATTCATAATTATCAAAACCTCCTTTGACCAATGATTAACCAAATTCTTTAGATATAAATGGAGCATTTGGATGGATGGATTTGGAGCGGGGCAAATCCCTCGAATTTATTTGGATTGAGGGATTTGGGGATAAATTTCAAGTCTCTATCCCTCATTTTCAGTTATAATTTATAAATGGAGCAATTGATGTGGATTTGCATTTCAAATCCTTCCTCCTCCAAATTCCTCCATCCAAATGGACCCTAATAAAAAAATTTGTAATATTTTTAATTCTTCGACAAAAAAAGTTATAAAGTTTTAAGTTACCGAAATCTTTTTTCTTTTAAAAGGATGGTAGAATTACACAAAAAAAAAAAAAAAAAAGAAAAAAAAAATCCTCACGTATCGATACTTACTAAAACCGCGCTAAATTTTATTCAATCTTCTAACAATCACACACACCCCAACTCCCTCAAACCAATACAACCTACGCATTCGCAAATATTATGTTATTATAGATTATCTTGTCTTTAGAAGGTTTTTTGTTGGACGTAGTAAGATTGGATTTTCATTCAATTATATAATTATATCTTTGCAAGTAGATGAGGCCTTAAAAGTTTCCATGAGAGTTGAATTTGCACACTCGATTGAATTTGCCTGCAAAATTTGCCTAGTCAAACTATTTATTTTTTTAATATAGCCTAGTCAAAATAATTATATTGAAGGATAGTCAAAGTATAAATAATATTCCAAGACTATATACTTCATTGCCAGAGTTTCGATAATTTTATTTAAGTTTTGTTTGTTTAGTATCTTTTGTTGCGATTATAATATAACTTTATGTCCGATATCCTATGGGAAATTCCGGTCAACCAAAATATGTTTTAAACATAAGATACCATGACTCAGAATAAGGATTAGAATAAGGAAGGCCAAAAGGTTGTTAGTTAGGCAAACCCATCCTTAATTATGTTTTTAAAAGAATTTATTAATAAGAGACGTGTTATTTTCGAACTCAAAAATCAAAATATCTTATTTCACACGAAATTAAATATATTTTTTTTATTTTACTCTTTTCTTCCTTTTTTACTAATATTTTGTACAATTATAAATTGTCCACCACCAAAATAATTAGAATATTCACAAAAAAACTCTACCGTTTTCCACTAGAATCCTTACGGAAAAATCCCACTCTCTTCATCTTAAGTGAACGATACCTTCACCAAAGAAAAATACCCAAATATCAAAAAGAGAAAGAATTCATGTTTTTGGAGAATAAATAAGAATGCTTGTGTAGAAATAAAATTAAAAAATAAACAAAAAATCTAAGATTTTTGATATTGTTTTTTGTTGGATGAAAATTTGAAAAATAGGTTACATTTCATTTAGTGCAATCTGCCCAGAAACTGATTCAAATTGGAAAATCTTATTTTACCTTTTTAAGTTTAATTTTGGGAAAGATCAACTGTCAGCTAATTATATACAATTTAAAGTTTACAATTTTGTTGTGCAAAATTGGATGAAATGCTCCGTTGCATTAACAAAAGTTACATAATCTGCATGTTCTCTTACATTAAAGTTTAAATATCTTTTAATAAATTTTTTAAGTAATAATAACTTAGAACATAGGAATGATTCAACGAATGTAACGAAGGATAGTGGATTAAAAGTTTGAAGGGAGTCATGATATTTTATGTAAATTTGGTTGTAAATTGAGATAATTATATTTGGAGGTGGAAATAGCACTACTGAGTAATAAATAGGTAAATTATGGCCAACCCTTGAGGTGATCTCAAATTACAAACTCTCCCTCCTATTTTGGGTATATACAAGCACCAATCACTATGAATTTTCTTACATATCCATCCTTATGTTATCAAATTCAATAAAATGTGGAATGTTCTGTAGTTTGTATCCGTTTTGTGCAAGAATGCAGTTTTAGATGCACCACAATCTGATATTTACAAGCCAAAAGACACATCTTATGATCATCTTGTTTCGAAATGTGGAGCTCGAATATGATAAAATGAGTACAAACTGGGGAATATATTCCACATAATGTAGAAGATTCCACTAAAATTTGACACCGTAAGGAAAAATGTGTAAGAAGATCCATAGTTGAGGGGTGGTTGTAATTACCCAAACATGAGAGATTTTTTGGTAATTTGACCTTACCACAGCTGATACGATCCTAACAAGCTCCAAGTCGAAGAATTGGAAGAAGCGAAAGCGTACAAGTTTAAAGAATTTATTCGGTTTGGAACTGAAGAATAAATGCTTGGATCAAGTCTTTGAAGAGTCCTTGGTTTGGAGTTGGAAGAAAAGAAAACGGAAATTCATTGGACAAGTCGAATTTCAAGCATCCCGAAAATCCCGTATGATTCTGGCAGACTTTACCATTCGGACTATAACTCTCTCATATGACGTCCAATTTAGGTGATTCAAATTTCTATGGAAAGCCAACTGGAAGTTCTACATGTTAGATAAAAGGGGCCCAAATGTTTATTTGGCCCAAAACTGCTAACCCACCTTGTGCAGCCCACTCCCTTGGTGTCGGCCCAGCAGCTCACTTAAAGCCCAAGCAGAGTCAATCTGGACCGTTGATTGATAAGTCTCGATCTCAGCCATCCATGCCACATATATATATCTTCTCTCTCTCACAAAGCCTCCAAACCCTAACCTAGCAGCTGCACCTCTCTCTTCTCTCTTCTTCTCAACGGCCGAATCTTTCGCCGGTTTCCATGGCGGTCGGAGATTCGGTCGATTCCCTTTCCTTTCTTGCTGCAGCTGCACGAGTATATATACATCTCTTCTTGACGATGAAGAACATAACGAAAACAACGAAATCTTCCCATCTTCTACCTTCTTGTCTTAAACCTCTCTGTGGTGAGTGGTTTCGTGACCTCTGTGAGTGAGGGTACCAGATCTGGGGAAACACTGTGTGTGTGAGTTCGATTCGTTGGGGTTTTGGGTTGGGTTGAGACTACAGTCGGAGTGAGGCTGAGATCTGAGCACTCGGATGATGTTTCGACTGCTGGGCGTGGATCTGTGAGCTTGACACCGGGAGTGTGCTGGCTGCCGCCGATTGGACTCCGGACGTGGACACGGGAAACGAGGACTGAGCCGTCGCTGTGTCATCTTCTCCACCGGAGCCGAAAACGGGCAGATTTTCGATCTGCCCCAGATTCGTTCTTATTATTATTTATTTCTGTAATTTATTTGTTAAGTCTTAATCCCCTTCCCCTTAGGCTTATTAATCTGTGTAATTCATTTGATTAAAGGTCTGTAATATTAATGCTATTTGAACGGCCACCCAACACTACAACTTTCATGTTTCGTGAGGAGAGAGATTCGAAGTGTAACGGTGTCGTAATTCAGCATGAAGTTCGTGCACATGCACAGCCAATTGTCTACGCGAGATTAGAAGGGTGATCGAGAAGCCGACTTGAAGATCAAGTTATCTTATTTAATTATGCACGTTTTTAATTTAGGTTTTATTATGTTTTTTTTATTATTTTAGAGTCCTTTATGCTTAGGATTTGGTTATTTATTTATTTCCTTATTATAGTTTAGGTAGGAGTCCTTTTCCTTCTGAAAAAAGAGTCTTTTTAGATCTTATAAATAGGTTGCCAATTTGGCTTATTTGATGGGACGAATTTTAATGATTTAAATTGAGTTTATTTTCTTTGGTTCTTTAAGAACTGTTCGAACATATCGGTGGATTCCGTCTGTTCACCCCGACTTATCAATCGAACTTTCGCAATCGATTGTGGCGTCTTCGCATACACCCCTTTGATTCCTTCTTTAGGACGGTCCGGGATTTTTGATATCCGAAGTATTGATATCGGATCTCGTCACATTGTTGGCGAGGTTTGCATCAATAGCGGTGCCCGTAATTTACCTAATTATTTATGTACAAATTAATTTTATTTCTTCTGGAGTGAGTAAGGCCGATTATTTTTATTTTCTTTTACCAAATTTCCCTACCTACCCATCGTCCTACCGAACCGTACCGATTCTCCACCGATATATTTTTACCGAATGATTATTGTACCGAAATATTCTGGTAGGGCAACAATACTGTATATTATTAAAATAATATTATCCTACCATACCGACATATTATTAATAAATAATAATAAATAAAATTTTATTTTAATAACTAACTTATTTTATATAAAAAGTGAACATAATAATATTCTAACTAACTACTATTAGTTAAAATTAAATATAAATTTTGTCAAAAATATTTAGAATTGCTTTCATTAATAATGATATAATTGATATTTAAGAGTTTTTATGTTATAATTTTATTCAAGAAATATTTTATATTAGGTAAATTAAGAATATATATTTTGAATACTCATATCTTAAATACTAGTTTTGAACACTTTAAACATGTAAAAACCTTGAACTACTTTGATAAAATGATATTCAATTTAAATTTAAATAGTAAATAAAATAAAGGGTCCATTAGATATACACCTCTCATATAGAAAATATATAGGGATATGTCCACCCCTAAAATTCTTCCTTTGAGATACCCCTCTGGAGAGGCAAAAGTATTATTGTGCCTTTAAGTGCAATTTTTGCCCAACTGCATTAGTATTTTCACCCCTGCATTCAGCATAATGCCCAATTGCATTTAGCATTTGTGGCCTGCATTTATCATTTTTATAGATTATTTTAAATAAAAAAATATAAATGTTTATTTTATTATTATTTTTTATACATATCCTTTTTTGTAATTTTTTATTTTTTTTGTATTTTTGTATTTTTTTTGTATTTTTTAATTTTTTTAATTTTTTTCTTAATTTTTTTTTAATTTTTTTTTAATTTTTTTTTATAAATTTACTGTACTGAAATTGACTATACATGACTATAGTATACTACACCTAACTATAGTTTACCACAGTCGTGTATAGTTAAATGTAATCATGTTATGTCTTTTTACCCCAAAATTAATCTATACCAACAACAAAATTCACAATTTTAATCTTGATATTATAAATCAACTAACCAAAAAAAAAACACAATTACGTGCATATAAGCATCAAAGCATAAACACGCATTACTATACATTAAAAACTGCATAGCATACATATAACTATATGTTACTACACATGACTATAGTTATCTATAGTTATATAAGTGACATAAGTTTGGAGTACTGTAGCATGAATGCAACTTTACATGGCACTTCTCTGCGCCTTATCCTTAGCATCTCATAATGTTATACAAAGCAAAACCTGTGACAAAAAAAATACAAATTAAAGAGCAAAATGGAACATGCGAGTTAGATTATATGAAAAATACAAAAAAAAACATGATTTTTTTTTTTTTTGTTGATAAATTTACTGTACTGTAATCGACTACAAATGATTATAGTATACTACAAGTTCTATAGTCATGTATAGTTATATGTATCCATGACTATACATGACGACATATATGACTATATATATGACTGTATATGACTACGTATATAACTGAATATGACTACATATAACTGTATATTCACCTAACCCAAATCACCCATCTAAGTAACACTACTAATTAAGTTTTCTACTACATGGAAACAAAGCTCTCACACTTGAGGCATTTCGGATCATCTTCAAATAAATACAAAAAATAAAAGACATATGATGTATAACTAAAATGAACAACATAAGAATCAAACAAAATAAAAAATCAAATTAATCAAAAGAATTTTTTTAATATTAACTCATCTTAAAAAACATAGTAAATTTCACCTCAAAATCTGCAAATGCAATTGGCATTCCACCTCTAACATGAATCTTGGGTATCTGAAATTACACGAAATACGAGAATTTATGGTCTGAATAATGAGAGCATAGATCGCAGTTATTTCCACAGAGGCGGTGGGAGGAGCAGCGACCGACGGCTCGAGGCGGCGGCGAATGGCTGTGGTGGAGCAGCGGCGAGCGTCGGTGGTGGAGCAGCGGCACAAGGCGGTGACTGAGTAGCGGAGCACGGAGGTGGCTGAGCAGCGGCGCAAAGCGAACGACGGTGGCGGAATAGCGGCGAACGTCAGTGGCGAAGCATCGGCAAACGTCGGTGATGGAGCGGCGGTGGGGGATCAGTGGCGAGCGACGCAAGGCGGTGGGAGGATCAGATCTGGCCGCAGAGGGTTTGCTGATATAGAGAGAGTTAGAGAGAGAGAAAGTGAGAGAGAGATGAAGAGAGAGGGGGGAGTAACGGCTGATAAGTTAGAGAAAGTGAGAGAGAGAAAGTGAGAGAGAAGGTTAGGGTTAGGATTTTATGTATTGAATTAAAATTAAAAGGGTAAAACATGTATTTCAAGTTATCTAGGGGTCTCAGTAATTAAGATCAAAATTTGGGTTTTTAACTAGAGATGAAAACTTTATTAAGCCTCCTCATATATATTTTCAAAACTATAGTTATCACTCATTTCCCCTAAAATAAATTGATAATTATTATTATCATACCGAACTTTTTGTATGCCGAATTTTAATATATTGAAGTTTTTTGTATGACAATAGTAATGAATTTCATAATTATGAAATTTCGGTAGCAAATAGTGATGCCCTATCAAACCCACCCCCTAAAAGAGTGAGTATACAAATCAAATTCGTTCTTAACATGAAAAGTTAGTAGTGGTCCAAAGTCCAAACTGTTGGCCGGTGAGCAACTTAAATGTGCGCGTATTCACACACACATATAGATACAGATATACATACATTTCACCTACCTCGGGAAGCACAAACCGACGTGTGCAATATCCTTATCGCTAGTTTTCTCTCTTCTCATTCGCAAAAACAAAACGTAGATATATATACAGCTATAGATACTACGTATACATACATAAAATTGTACGATCCCTTACTCCAATTGAGAGAGAGAGAGAGAGAGAGAGAGATTTTGATATAGTTATTGTTAGTCTGTAAATTAGTAGCAGCATTGCTGTTGTTTGTTTATCTGAAGAAAAATGGATTATTTAGCCGACGAGAGAAAGAAGGCTGTATTCGATGTGGATTCCATGAAGATTGTCTGGGCTGGATCGCGGCAGGCCTTCGAAGTTTCCGATCGTATTTCCAAGCTCGTCGCCGCCGATCCTGTAATTTCTAATTCCTTTTTTTTTTGTTGTTGTTTGGGGTTTTGGAATTAACTTCGTCGATGATGAATTTATCGAGCTGGATGATATTCGACGGAATTATTTTGAGAATTTCCGTTCGTTATACTTGATTTAATTGTAAAAAAATAAATCATTTTGCTATCAGTGATTTAGATCCCTAGATAAGTTCTTATCGAAATCGATTGCTGCAGTTGATCTTTATCCTTTTATTTTTTCTATGTAGACAGCGTTAGAATTGAATATTTTGAAATTTAAGAATCGTGGGATGGGACCTGATGTACTGTATTGGAATTTGGAATAAACAAATGGGGAGTATCAATCACTCTGATTTTACACAAATTAACTTTCGAAAAGTATATAACTTTTTAGTTTGATCGTCTTTTTCGACTGAATGTTAATATGATCTAACTTATTTCGTTTGCGGATTTAGGGATTTCGGAAGGATGACAGGCCGATGCTACCGAGGAAGGAATTGTTCAGAAATACTCTTAGGAAGGCAGCTTATGCATGGAAACGGATTATCGATCTTCGTCTATCAGGTGAAAACTCTTTCTTCGAACTTCAATGTTTCTTCTCTCTGTGTGTGTGTGTGTGTGTGTTTTCTTTATTTATTTATTTCTGACTGGAGTTCTCATCCGTTTCTTTTGATTTTCATGGTTGCAGAAGAAGAAGCATCTAGATTAAGGTTTTATGTGGATGAAATAGCATATACTGATCTTCATTGGGTAGCTACCTCATCTAGTTTTTGATATTTTGTTAGAGTGTTTTGTTTTTTTTAAATGTTTGGCCACTGTGACTTACTTACACTGTTTCTTTTAGGGTATGTTTGTACCGGCCCTAAAAGGTCAGGGTACTGACGAACAGCAGGCAAAATGGTTGCCGTTGGCATATAAGATGCAAATAATTGGCTGCTACGCGCAAACTGAGCTTGGTCATGGCTCCAATGTGCAAGGTCTTGAAACCACTGCAACATTTGATGCTGATAAAGACGAATTTGTAATTCATAGTCCTACATTGACTTCAAGCAAAGTAAGTTACACTCGAGAAAAAGGCACCGTACTTTTATTATGTCGGGCTAACTGAAGTGGCATGCTGCTTCATCTCTATGTGCTTGTGATATTGTTATATTTTGACTTGTATCCTTCGAAAGTCAACGCTGAGTTGTATTCGTTTCTTGGTCATTGATTTCTCCTCTTATTTACTTTCCCCTTAAATAGTGGTGGCCTGGTGGACTAGGAAAAGTGTCAACACATGCTGTTGTTTATGCTCGTCTGATTACAGATGGAAAAGACCATGGCGTTCATGGTATGCACAAGTCAACTCTTTGTATTTGTTCGATATAATAATTGATGTCTGGTTATCTTCCTTCAATGGGGTAGTGTAGTAACATTTTCTTTTTAGGTTTTATTGTTCAATTGCGGAGCTTGGAGGACCATACACCTCTTCCAGGAATAACCGTTGGTGATATTGGAATGAAATTTGGAAATGGAGGCTACAATACAATGGACAATGGAGTGTTGAGATTTGATCATGTTCGCATTCCAAGGAATCAGATGTTAATGAAGTATGTTATCTTGCCAGTTAACTTTTGTTTCTTTGCTAATGTACATTTTTCTTTTTGGTTTTTAAGTGTACCTACATCTACATGTGCATTGGGAATGACCGAGTCGAAACACGAATGTTTACCTTTGTCGAAACACAAATGGATTTAAAATATTCATTTAGACTTTTTTGGTTGATATGAATGAGTAAGAACCATTGTTTCTACTTAGATATTTTTAAGAAACAATGTCCATTTTCAGAATTTAACCATGTAATCTAGCACATGGTCAACCAAACCCCAGGGTAGTGAGGATAATTGCATAACTGCTGTTTTAAGTCATAGTTGAGTGTATGGACTGACAAAAGAAATCCACATTACGAGATGGCGTCTTATTTTGGGACATCCCAAATTGGAAACTGCAGCATCAATTATAGTGTGAAACATGACTGACCTGAAAACTACCAAACTCGTCTCAATCTTCAAGCTCAGACAAACTTATAGAAAAGACTCTAAAACCGCCAAGACGTTCCTTTTACCTAAAACAATTCATCGTTGTGACAATAGTCATCTTCATGCGAGCATTTTTATACTGAACCAGCGAACCTTGAGAAAATCTAGCTAGATTGGTAATGATAACTACAAATAAGACGAAGTAGCGTCAATGTTTGGCAGTTTCTTTCTCGGTGTAACCTTTTGGAATACTATATGTGGAAAATATAAATACTGCAAATGTGTATAATTTTTCTTTGAATCTCTCAGGGTTTCACAGGTGACAAGAGAAGGAAAATATAAGCAATCAGACGTGCCACGGCAGTTAGTTTATGGCACTATGGTATTTGTGAGGCAACAAATTGTAAAAGATGCTTCTTGTGCTTTATCAAGAGCTGTTTGTATTGCCACGAGATATAGTGCTGTACGTAGACAGTTTGGATCACAGAATGGTGGATCTGAAACTCAGGTAAGAGATGAACTAATTGAGGGTAGTTTTACTTCGTACATTTTGATAGCAGTTTTTGTTTGAAATCTGAATAGGAGATATCGTTTTAATAGTAGTCTAAGAATCAATCAGCCTGTGGGTCAAATGTGTCAAATGTGAACCAGTTGACTTGCTCCAGAATTTTATGTCTCTTCAATTCCGAAAAACATCTAGGTCTTTCATGTTAAAAAAAAATTCTACATCAACTCTCTCTTGTCATTAATATCTGTGCATACATGTCCTAATACTGTAACAGATAGTGTTTGTTGTATAGTCTTAATTTGATTGGTGTCTGATCTGCTTATCCTTACAACCATTATAGTTCTGTACTTAATGAATTAACATTTTTGTATGCATGTTCTACTCTTGTTTCTTCCTGAACATCCGGTGGTCATTGATCTCTTCAATACTTTTGTTTCTTGTACTTATTTATAAATCAGTCACTAAAGATGAATGGATAATACCTTTTTACGTCCAAATCAATTACATGTTTTACACCCTTGTCATGCCAGTACTCCAATCAGCAAACCACTTTGGCCTTTTTAAGTCTTATTTATCCTATTATTCCTCAACTTTGATAAGCTTTTGCTCACGTCTGATGATAATTTTACTCGTAATTATCTGTCTAGAAAGCCAGACTTATCCTCACTCTGGTAAGGATGTCTTACTTGCCGTTTCTGCACCTTGACTTTTGTTTCTCCTCTTTCTAGACACGGCGGTTGGATAAGCTTTTTCATTTCCACGTACTTTAAAATTCATAAAGAATTAATTTATTTTGTATCGCAGATGAAGTAAATATTTTTCAATCTTGTCTGACAACTTAAATATACAGAGCTCATCTCAAAGTCAGAGTAACATCCTTTAGTTCACCACTTGGTATATTTTGATATTTTGACTGAGAAAACAGTTTGTACTGAATATGATGGATGCATATTGTTCTTTTTTCCGAATTAGTTTTTGGAAATCGTTATCTACATGTTCAAGGATATGAAATAATATCTCAATGATTTAGTATGTGATTTCTAAAATGTGCTAATTACATTTTTCAGGAATCTGTTTTATGGTTTTAGTGATTTGATGGAGTTATTATGATGTGCAAAATGTACTATTTTTTTTTATGTTTGAGGCAAACAGATTATTAATTAGTTCGACACATGTTTGATGCATATAGGTCATTGATTACAAAACTCAACAGAGCAGACTTTTCCCATTGCTGGCTTCTGCTTATGCCTTTAGATTTGTGGGTGAATGGCTGGAATGGCTGTACAAGGATGTTATTCAAAGATTGCAAGCCAATGACTTCTCTACATTGCCCGAGGCTCATGCATGCACAGCAGGGTTAAAGTCCATCACTACTTCTATCACTGCTGTAAGTTATGAATGGCAACTGATCATCCTTTCTCGTAGACCGTCGACGCGTATCTCTGTTTTATTCTTGTGCTTATGCAGTGTATTTATGCATCTGTTTCATCTTTAGGATTATTCCTTGAATGTTTCAGCACTAGGAACTTATAAGCTAGGTGCTGCTATTTAGAGCTGATTGAAGACTATAGTTTTTCTCATTCATTCTCTTATGATTCTTGTTTATCGGCAGGATGGAATCGAAGAATGTCGAAAGTTATGTGGAGGACATGGTTACTTATGCAGCAGTGGGCTTCCAGAACTATTTGCAGCTTATGTTCCAGCTTGTACATATGAAGGAGACAACACTGTCCTGCTTTTGCAGGTATTTTTCTTGAGATGTTGATGTTAGATGTGTGCATCTGTATATGTATTCTATGGACAACGTTTTCTTTTCTTCATCCTTTTTTTTTTCGAACTTGATTGACAATGTGAAATGTTCAGCCAAACCAAAACCAACATCAAACATGATTACCATTTAGAACCTGATTTTGGATTTTGTAGTACATATTCTTATTATTGGACATAAGATTCCTCACAGGTAAGTACTGTTAGCGGTGTTTTTGAAATCTTGGTGAATTTATAATCATATGTTATTCAATGGTAAGCGGATCACCACAACATTAGGCTTAAGTAAAATAGTATTAGTTTTCTAGTACATGTTTCCTTTAAACAATGAATAATTTCGTAGTGTTTTAGTAGGTATTGCTTTCTTTAAAATGGTGGGATAAAAATTTATGTCCCGATCACAGTTATATCACTTGCTCTCAGATTACTTGCTCTGAATGTGCACAGTTATGTTAGCAATTAGCAGCAAAATGTCTTTGTTCTGTATGTTTTCTTGAATTGCTTTGCTCCCGTTAATTCTCCAGCATTCTGTTTCGTCTCAGTGTTGCAAAACTTGAATACTCGAACATACCAAGCTGTTGGAGTGTTAAATAGTTACATATTGTCTGTTTTAATTTGAATGATCTAAATTCTAAAATATTGGACTTCATTTTATAGCTATTAACGGTGTTGAGAATAGAGAGATTTAACTAATCGGTTTTTTCTTCTGCTGTAGGTAGCTAGGTTTCTAATGAAGACTGTCTCCCAGCTTGGATCAGGCAAACAGCCAGTAGGAACAACTGCTTATATGGGAAGACTTGAACATCTAATGCAAAGCCGTTGTACTGCTCAAAGAGGTAGATTGCTTTTCCGCCTAGAAATACTGAAAAAACACTATTTCAGATACATACTCTCCATGCCTAACATCAAAGTAGTTGAGTAGTTGAACTTTTATCAATATTATCGTAGAAGATAATTTTTGGGATAGAAATATGTTCTTCAATGGACTTTTTCCTGTTGTCTAGATTGATTATCTACATGTTCTCTAGATTGATTGTCTACATGCACATTGCTATTAGTAGTGGCGGAGTACTTTAGGCTTTGTAGAAATTCACTTCAATCTATGTTCGTATAAAATATTTCATTGAGAAATATTGCATTTTATGCTGTATGTATATATTCAAGAAATTTCATTCTTATTCTAAATATTATAAAATAAAAATCATGAAACTTTCATTGAGAAATTTACACCCATATGCTCTTTGGATAAATTACTTTCATGACTTTGCTGTGTTTCTACCCGTCGTGCAGCTGAGGATTGGTTAAAGCCTAGTCAAGTTTTGGAAGCTTTTGAGGCAAGAGCTGCTAAAATGTCCGTTTCCTGTGCTCAGAATCTGAGCAAATTCAGTAACCCTGAAGAAGGTACGTCTGCGTTTTTGTTCACTTATTATTTTCTAATCGGTGAAAATTGTGAACGTTAATGATTTCCTATATTTTAATCTAATGGTGTCACGAGTTTTTGGTATGTCTGTAATCTGGTCCGGTGAATTTGTGTTAGGTTCAGTTCATATGTTGTAAAAATACAACTTCTAATTTTTTATTTCTTTTTTACTTTAGGCTTTGCAGAGCTGTCAGCTGATTTGGTTGAGGCGGCAGTTGCTCACTGTCAATTAATCGTTGTCTCCAAGTAAGCTTTTCGTTTACGCTTGTGTAATTTATATTGTACGAGGATAGAATACGGATGTGGTCTAGGGCTTCAATTTGATGGAAAGAAAGAAAGAAAAAAAAACCGAAAAAACTTATTCCCTAAGATATGTAGCCAGAACATACAAAGTGAAGTCTCCTGCACCTGATCTTATGATGTGGGTATTGGATAGTTTCTTTTGAACAGTGTATTGGATAGTTATTTAATTTTTCAACGTAACGATCTTCCCCAAAATAAATGAGAAAAGTTCCGAGTCATTGTATTCAAAGTGGTCGTTTGAAAAAAAATAATGCCCTTTGCTTAGGTTTATTGAGAAACTGCAACAAGATATTCCCGGTGAAGGAGTGAAGCAACAACTAGAGGCACTTTGCGGTATATATTACCTCTCACTTCTTCACAAACACCAGGGCGACTTTCTAGCCACTAGTTATCTGACACCTAAGCAGGCCGTACTTGCTAACGATCAGCTCAGAGCCTTGTATGCCAAGGTTTGTCCTTAAAACTCGTTTTAGTTTCTTCGTCTTACATAATCTCCTTCACATGAAAAAACTTCTTTGTTACTAATACTGTACCAACATCCTTTTTGTTCTTTTAAAAAGGTTCGTCCGAATGCAATAGCTCTTGTTGATGCATTCAATTACACGGACCATTACCTTGGTTCGATTCTGGGCAGATATGATGGAAATGTTTACCCCAAACTTTACGAGGCGGCTTGGAAGGAACCATTGAATGAATCGGTTGTACCTGATGGCTACAAAGAGTACATTAGGCCTCTGCTTAAGCAACAGCTCCATAGTGCTCGATTGTAGACTTTTTTCGATTCGATATATGACGAATGGTGTATACCAATTAAAGTTAGACCCATCGCAATAAAATAAAGATCTCGATCATGTGGGATAAATATGTAGTAGTTTTTGTATTTGAGTAAAACAAAGCTTGAGTTCATCAAGTGTGCATTATGAATGTCAAGCAGAGTTTGATTTATGTACTTGCCAATTTCGAGTACAGATTTGATTGATTAATATTCATGTTGTTCTTATTCTTTTTTAGTTGTTAAATAAAATAAACTGTACGAAATTTTTCCACAAAAAAAAATCTTATTTTTTTACACTGTTGTGATGAATATTAGTTAACTAAATCAATTCACTCTCCCAGCCGCTTGTACAGGACGCTTTTTGAGCCCGTTCTTGTATTAGTGGATAGGCTCGATTTCTGACACAGTTCTCCTTTTGGCGCGTATCTCTTTTCGAAACAAGTATAAACTTTGTTGTCATTACGAGGGCAAGAACCCCAGGTCGGCTGAGATTACTTGTTCTTAGTTTTCTCATCTTCGTTTGGGTTTTTCAAGTCTTTCCTTTTTTATCTTAGCTCTAAGCTTACAGGGCCCTTGTTTTTGCACGACTTTTGGCTTAATAGCTTTGTAAGCACTCTCAGCCTTAGTAAATTAGGCGTTGATTCTCATTGTTCGACAATATTTTTGTCTTTGTTGACCGATCGATCCTCTTCTTTATTTTTTTTGCGATTTCTCGACCACGCCACTTTTGATATGTTTTGTCACTTTGTATGACATTTATTTAGAGGAGATGGACGTATTGGGGGTCTTAGCCTAACTCCCCATTGTATCGGCGTTTGAAAAAGAAAAACTCGAAACCAAATGAATTCACTTGATTATATGAGTCGGCCACATAATCGATGCATATGACTTGACTTGTATGAGAACTTGGTTAACTTAACCAAAAAATTAATTGATTGACATAAGTTCACTAAGACAAATTAGGGGCGAAAGCGAGCCGAGTCGGCAACTTGGCAATTTTTCGAGGTCAAGCTCATCGAGGATTCATTTTCTAAGTTTGAGATGGAGCTCATCTCATGTTATTCTATTTTATATATTAATATTGTCTTTTTTTCATTATTATTAAATGATTTAAGTTAAATAATAAATTGATACTTACATTATGTGCTCATTTACACTGTATTCTACACCAACCCATACCAAAGCAAAACAAAAGGAAAAGCATATGCGAAGAACAAGAGTAATATTCGCTGCCCAAAGCTGAACATTTTCAGGATACGCCTTTAAACATACATCTACTTTATCTTTTTTCAATAAAGTAATCCTCTAACAATATATTTTTAATTTAATCCCAATTTATTTTATTTAATCAGAATGCCCATTTATTTAACAAACTAGGGGATTTTTTAGTTTATTTTTTGGCATAAATTTCTATTTACTCCAGAAATTTAACAACCAAAAGTACGCTTTAACTAAATTGATTATTTAATCATGTCTGCTTCTTTTGAAAGTTTTACATTATAATGTTTACTAAAAGGGGCATGCTAAATTCCACACTAAAATTTACTAAATCTCACACATAAATTAAAAGAAAATTCTCTTTAAAATGATTTTATCCAAGTCACTCAAAATTCATTAATTTTTTACGTGAATAATCATAAAAAATGAGTTCCGTTTTATTTAATATTTATTCAATTTCATTAAGCCTTTTTAATTATTAAAATGCATATCAATTCGAATATTTTCCTCAAATTCCAACTGTATTTTAGTTTGGACATGTGAAGATTTTTGTCAAATTCGAACTTGGAATGCTAGGGATGTTTTTAGTGTGTGGTTTTGTGAAAAAAAAATAGGGAAAAAGAAGAAGGGTGGGAAAGATGCAGAGAAGATTTTGGAAAGAGAAATATTTTTTAGTTATTTGCATGATTTGGTAAAAATAATTTGGGATTTAGCGTTTCAGTTACTAAAATAAAAGTCGTATTAATTTGTTAACCCAATTAAGTCATCTCTTGCCAGGTATTATATTCACTAGTATTTTTTTTTCCGTGCGATACACGAGATAACATTTCAAAATTGAAAATTAGATAATTAGTTGAGAAATAAAAATTCAAACATGACGCCTAGAATTTGTGTGTTGATAAAAACTGATTGGAAAATATGGGAGAAAAAAAATAAAAAAAAAATAAAAAACTATTCAAGTGGATTAAGATTCTTGCTAGCAAATTCGATTTGCTATGAACGTCATTACATAAAAAATGATGGAAAATAGGATATAAAAATTAATAATAAAAGGAAAAGAAAAAGAAATAGAAAAAACAGTAGAAATGGAGTGGATTTGGATTTTGCTTGCGAATTCGCAAATCTGATTCAAGTGAAATAAATTTTGTGTTGGTAACAATCTGACTGAAAAATATTAGATAAAAAAAAATCCAAGTGCATTAGGATTTTACTTGCGAATTTGCTAATTTAATTTGAGAATAAAAAATAGGAGGTGCAAAAATTAAAAGAATAATTCAAAAAATTACTAGCATGTCATTGGGTTTTTTAGTTTCACTTGGGCCTTAATTATTTTTATTTATTATGAGAGATATTAATATTAAATGATACATTTCACCAACATTTTAAGCCTTTATTGAAGCGATCATTCAACATAGTATCAGAGACAGACCAATTTAGCTAATTAAAACTAGGGTAAATTACACCCACACCCTTGAGGTATGCTTAAATAACTGTAAGGTCCCTGTGGTATCGATAATTACACTCACCCCCCGAAAGGTAGTTAAGAACTTTAACGGGATAATGCATTGGATACATTATTCCGATAGGGTTCTAATGGACTATTAATTTTAGCTAGTTGTGGAGATAATATAGAGTTATGGGGAGTTTTGGGGCGACATGGTTCCCCCAATATTTTTTAAATCACCCAGAACTCTTTGTTGTCTTCACCACTTCCTGAAACCAGTAGTCCATTAGAACCCTATCGGAATAATGTATCCAATACATTATCCCGTTAGAGTTTTTAACTACCTTTCAGGGGGTGAGTGTAATTATCGATACCACATGAACCTTACAGTTATTTAAGCATACCTCAGGGGTGTGGGTGTAATTTACCCTTAAAACTATGAAGGATAACACATGTTTTTCTTTTCTTGTCAGACCAACGATGGTATATTTTAAGTGAGTTTTAGTACTATGATGTTAAGGGCAAAGTTCATTTTGCACCCGTGAATTATGGGATATGTTACATACACACCCCTTAATTACGAACGTATCAACTATGCTCCTATATTTTATGACCAAACCTACAAAAATATAAAGACATTAATTTTGTAATGTTTTCTTGTGCAATTACAATCTTACATCCACCCGTAGTGTATGTGATGTATATATGTGAATTTTAGTACTTATAAATATTTCAGCAAATAAGAAATACAAAGTCATTATCTCTTTCATTTTTCTCTCTCGTATCTCATCTTGCGAACAATATTTGGATGATTTTTTAAGCAATTGTTTAGCATAGTTTAATATTTTATTAACTTGAGCATATTGTTTTTAGATTATAATGACGAATCAACGCTTTGTAATTAAAATCCATCATGGAGGCCTATTTAAAGAGTTTGAATATGTTAGGGGTTTGACTTACACTGAGAGAGATGTTTACCCTGATTTGATATCCTATTTTGAGATATCTGGTTTAATTACAAAATTATGTATCCAATTACTACTGTGATTTGCTTATGATTGACATATGAAATTGAGCTCATGATGCCAATTAGAATTAGACATTATAATGAAATCAAAAAGGAAAAAAATGAGTAAAAAATGTCAAATGAAAAAATTGTAAAACTAAAGTAATAAAATGAGGCACATATAAGCATTCAACCTTTACACGATATTCATAGCCAACAGAGGGGTAAAAATGTCAAAAAAAATGCTATAATAAATGTTGTTAACAAGAAAGTCAACAGGTGATATAAACATATTTAAACGGAATGCAAACAACGAGAATGTATTTGGTGCGTTTTGTAATTGAGAAATGTGTTGGCGATACATATATAACTCAAAGGTGCAAAGTGAACTTTTTCATATTTTTAATGTTAACATTTCGCACTTTTATCAAAAGCAAGGGCGTTATTTTTATAACAAAAAGTTCGGAAGCAAAAGTACGAAAAAATGAAAAATTAAGAAGTCCAATGTTCAATAATTTTTAGGACAAAGTTCACTTTGCACCTTAAATTATGGGTGTGCGCAAATACACCCTTTAATTACGAAATATATCAAATACCCCTCATGTTTGTATTCTATTTGAATATGTTGGCATCACCTAATGACTTTCTTGTTTTTTTTTTTTTTTTTTTTTTTTTTTTTTTTTACCCCTATTGTGTAAGGGTTTAAAGCTTATATGTTTCTTATTTATTTTTTGCCTTTGTTTCTCCTCATTTTTTCATTTGAAATCATTTTTGTCATTTTTTTCTTCTTAACTTCACTATATGCAACTCTAGTTGTTAACATGAGTTCAATTTTCTATAAGAATCCTAACTAAATTATTTTAGAAATTGGATACCTAATTCTTTAATTAAATCAAGTATCTCAAAATAGGAAATTAAATTAGGGTAAACAATATCACTCAATTAATTCAAACCCCCAATATATTCAAACTCCGTAAATAGGTTTTCTTAATGGAGTTTAATTATAAAAATAAAAATTTGCCATTATAACGAACTACAAAAAATATGTTCAACCTAATAATATATTAAAATAAGATAAACAATTGCTTAAATAGTCGTCCAAATATTGTTTGCAAGATGGGTTATGTTGGAAAAAAAATGAGGAGATAGTGACTTTAATTTGTATTTTTTATTTTGTTTGAAATATTTCTAAGTACTAAAATTCACATATATTTTTCATAGACTAAAAGTGGGGTAACAATTGCTTAAATAGTCATCCAAATATTGTTTGTAAGATGGATTATGTTGGGAAAAAAATGAAGGAGATAGTGATTTTAATTTTCATTTTTTATTTTGTTTGAAATATTTCTAAACATTAAAATTCACACATATGTTTTATATACTAAAGGTGTCTGTAAGATTGTAATTGCTCAATAACACAAATAAAACTAATGTCTTTACAATTTGGAGTAATATGCCATGAGCCCCTCAAAGTAAACTTAATTTGAACTAAATGACAAGTTCAAATCCAATTTTTTAATTAAATCCTTAGTTTGAAATAATATATGAGCCACATCCCTAATTTTTTTTATCTCATTTTTGCCCTTATACCCTAAATCATATAACTTATACATTCAAGTTTCTTCAATTTAGATTTATTTTTCTTCCCTTTGTTTTCTCTTTCTCACGTTCTCTCTCTCACGTTTGCTCCCATATCCCTTTCTCTCTATTCTCGCTCTCTCTCTCCTTTTTCTCCAGTAGCAGGTGCCTAGCCATCGATTCATTCTCGTAAGAGACGCCGAGAGATAGATCTTCAGGTTGGAAGGCAGCCCGCCACCGCCGGCGACAAAGGGAGAAGTAGCAAGGGCGGCGTGGTGGAGGCGGTGAAAGCGGGTGGAGGTGATAACAGGGGTTTGTGTGGTGGGGTTTGTGGTTATGGTTGGGTGTTATTGAAAACATATTTTGACTAATTAATTGCATATAATTTTCTTATCTTTTAAGAGATTTTGCTTGATTTGGGTTCATATGGCGGATCTAGGTTTTTCCAAAGTCGGTAGGTGGCTACAATCGCGGCGGCTGCGAGCGGTAACTGTTAGGGTTGGCGGCGGCTGAAAATTGTTGGCGGCTAGGATTTGGTCGTAAAACATAGTACATTGTAGTATAGTATAGTGTAGTACACCCTAGTATACTATTGCTAACTGCAGTATACTATAGTCCACTAAAAACAAATTGAAAAATATGTAAATTGCAAAAAAAAATTGTGTATATATATATATATATATATATATATATATATATATATATATATATATATATATATATATATTTTTTATTTTTCAATATTAAGTAGAGAAAAAAGGGAAAAAATATTATAACAGTGTATAAAATGATAAAATGAAGAAAGAAAAAAACAAGAAGATTAAACGGATATTCTCTAAAAAAGTATATGGAAATTTGAAAATATTAAATACATAATAAATAAAATGATAAATACATTTTGGAATTTACTTAATCATATTTCAAATTTGTGAGTAGAGGGGCATTTTTGGAATGAATTTTATAAAGGATGTGAAACAAAGATTTAGTTGGACTTGTCATTTAGTTCTAATAAGTTTTGTTACCAAGGACTTCTATCCTAAAGCCCCTTGCATTTTCGTAAGTTTGACCAAAAAATATATAATAATATTTGATATGCTTCGTAATTGAGGGATGTGTATGCGACGCAACCCATAATTCAGGTGTGCAAAATAAACTTTGTCCTAATTTTTATTTATTTATTTTTTGTTCGCAGAAACTCAACACTAAATTAAACTAGGCAATGTATTTTAAGAGTTTATAAAAATTGTATATATAATAAAAACAATTAAACCTCATATAGATATACTTGAAAATGAAATTAACATTTGTGCAAAAGGTTTTGAACGACAATTCATGAACAACCACACCACCATGTCTTTTTCACACTATGATTCGTGTCCCAAGAATTTGACTGAGATATTCGCATCGATTAAAGTGAGTGTCTACACAATTAAATAAATAAGACATTTTTATCTTGGGGTTCAAAATCAAATGTTTTGGCTCTTGGTATGTTTGTTTGGTCATTTAATTAATCTATTATATTGTCCTATTTGATCCACTTCGTCCTACTGTTCTTGTCTGATAACTGATAAGTAACCAATTCATCTAGTTAGGTCGATAATTTTAACTACCATATATAAATGGGTAAGTCGATAGTTTTCAGTTTACCATTTGATCCACTTCGTCCTACTGTTCTTGTCTGATAACTGATAAGTAACCAATTCATATAGTTAGGTCGATAATTTTAACTACCATATATAAATGGGTAGGTCGATAGTTTTCAGTTTACTCAAAAATTGGTGAGCGGGTAATATCAGTCAACCAATTTTTTTAATAATAAAAATCTATTATTAAAATTTAATTTTGATTCTTATTTTCTTAATGTTACAAAAATAATATATAAAATAAGTCAAAACTCAAAAATTCAAATTTATAAACCTCAACATATTATTTCTATTTTATAATTCTTATTTCATATTCTTCATTACATATTTACTTATCGTAGAAGGTTAACAAAAGAAATCTTAATTTTAAAGTTGAGATTTTTGCAACATAATTTTTCTCAAGATTTTGAATATCTTTTGAAAAAAAAAAAATTTAAAATATGTTACTATTGTAAAGAAGAAAAAAAAATTAATAAATAGATGGTCGATAATACCAACCAACCGACCATTATTTACCTGACAAAGTTGGTGCAAACTATTATTCGACCCATAATGGTCAAACCAGCGATGATTTTTAATATTCAGCAAAATCGGGTAATTAAATCGAATAAGTAATTGACCAATAATTGTCCGACCCGAGTCCATGGCCAACCCTAAGTTGAAGTTGTTACCGATAAAGTTGATACTGAACTTTCCCTTATTTTCTACCTAAAAACAAAAGTAAAAGGATACCTTTATTCACAATATTTTCAGTAAATCCATAATTTGCTTTGGATACGATTGATTGTTATTGTTGGCTCCATTCCATTTTCACCTAACAATTTAATTTCACACATTCAACGTGCTTCAGCTGTCACAATTTTAACCTTCCATTGTATGGTAAATGAGTTGAGCCGACTCGTGAGCTTGATGAGTCGACTTGTAAAAAGGTCAAACTCAAATTCAAGTTTTTCGAGCTCGAGCTCTTTGTCGAGTCCAGTCGAACATTTTTTTAGTTGTTCGTGAACTCACGAGCCGGCCCGCGAATCTTCCTTTTATTTATTTTTTATATATTATTTTCTATTTAAATAATATATAATAATATAAAAAGAACGCATAAATATATATATATATATATAAATATATATATATATATATATATATATATATATATATATATATATATATATATATATATAAATACAGTTCATTATTTATTATGTGATTTTTTTTCATTCTAATATATATAAATTTTAATAATAATAAAATAATTAAAGAAAAATCAAAATAAGCTTCGACTTGAGCCAAAAATAAACAATTTACTCGATGAGCTTGAGCTCTACAAAATGGACTCGAGCTCAAACTCGGCTCGTTCACACCCCGAACCCTTGTGCCACTGCAATAATTTATGGTGAAAATTAAAGCAATAGTCTTTTACAATTCTTCTCCTCAAAGTAAAATAAAATACAAACTTTACATATTTATATCTAGAAATTAATATAATATCAATTTACATCCTTTTCACATTGTATAAGAGCACCCATAACTGGCATTCTGGCAACTTCTTCAACCTTACACCCGGTGCGGGTTTATTGTTGTCACGTGTGTTTTTTTGTATTTCATAATATATTCCCTCACTTTAGGTTGATCTGTGGGAGTTTTAGAAAAATACAAAAAAGAAAACGTAGCAGCAGAAAACCCACCTAATGTTTATCATCTTCGAACTGTAATGTTTGTGTCAAAATTTAATGACTCTCCAACTTTGATGTCTGGGTTTGTGTTTGTATATTCGTGGAATCCGTTGTTAATTTGTGGACCAATTTAACTAAGAGAGCAACTATGTGGATGCTCTAATTAACTATTCCAATACTTCTTACGTAATTGAATATCTGATTTAAAATTTAATGACTTCTCATGCAAGCCCAAAATAAAATTACCATTTGCCAAAATGTTGATGAAAAGGGTAAGGGGCGCCGAGCTCGACTATTTTGGCAGGCTCGAACTTAAGTCCAAGCTTTTCTTTTTTTATATATAATTTTTTTTTAGTTACTTTTTATTATAAAAAAATATTTATGTTATAACAAAAAAATTATAAAATAAATAATAAATTGTAATTATATATAGTTTTAAATTTTATTTGTTCTGTTTTCTATTATTATTATAATATTTTATATTATTTAAATAAAAAATAATATATAACAAATAAAAAAGAAAATAAAAGGAAGACTTGCGAGCCGGTTCGAGAGTTCACGAAAAACTGAAAAAAAAAATTGAAGCTCAAAAAACTCGAGTTCAAACGTTTTTCAAATAGCCTACGAGCTCACGAGTCGGCTTAACTCGTTTACCCAAAAAAAATGGTTGTATCTATTGATATTGAATAATTGGCATAATATATTATAAGGGTAAATTACAACCACCCCTTGAGGTATGGTTAAATTACGAAAACCCCCCTCTTGTTCGAGTAATTACAATCACCCCCTCAGCTATAAATCATTTTACACGTCCACCCTTGCGGTTTCAAATTTAGTGGAATTTTCGAGATTATATGGAATATTATCACTTTTGTACCCGTTTTATCCCATTCAAACTCAACATTTTGAAGAAAGATGATCATAATATGTGTTTTTTGGCTTGTATATATCAGATTGTAGTGCATCAAAAACTGTATTTTAATACAAAACGAGTACAAACTAGAGCACATTCCATGAAATCTAGATGATAATGTTGAATTTGACACCATGAGAGTGTAGGTGTAAGAAAAAATTATAGTTGAGGAGGTAGATGTAATTATCCAAACAAAATGGGATTTTCATAAATTCACCATACCTTAAGGGTGGTTGTAATTTATCCTATATATTATAAATATTTTTCTTAAAATTGAGAAAACAATTAAAAAGGAGAAGATGCTCCATCTATATATATTACACGGCCCACTACTTGTCTATATATACAAGCTAAGCACACAAGCTTACACTCAAGCTCACATTCCACAGCACAGCACAACAATGGCGGCCACTTATCTCTTTCCACTTTCCATTTTCTTCATAGTGTGCACAGTAGCCAAAGCTACTCACCCCGGCCTCATTCTCACCGTCGTCAACAACTGCCCCTACACCATCTGGCCGGCCATCCAGCCCAACGCCGGCCATCCCGCCCTCGAGCGCGGCGGCTTCGCCCTCTCCAGCCTCACCCACCGCTCCTTCCCGGCCCCCTCCGCCCACTGGTCCGGCCGCCTCTGGGCCCGCACGGGCTGCATCTACGCCCACGGCCGCTTCTCCTGCGCCACCGGCGACTGCGGCGGCCGCCTCGAGTGCGGCGGCCTCGGCGGCGCCGCCCCCGCGACCCTAGCCCAGTTCACGCTCCACCACGGCCACGCCGACTTCTCGTCGTACTCCGTCAGCCTGGTGGACGGGTTCAACATCCCGATGACGGTGACGCCGCACGAAGGGAAGGGGCAGTGCCCGGTGGTGGGGTGCCGGGCGGATCTGCTGGCCACGTGCCCGCACGCGCTGCAGGTGCGGGGCCCGCCCCACGGCGGGGTGATCGGGTGCAAGAGCGGGTGCGCGGCCTTCGGTACCGACGAGCTGTGCTGCCGCAACCACTACAACAGCCCGCAGACTTGCCGGGCGTCGAGCTACTCGGAGTTCTTCAAGCATGCTTGCCCGGCGACGTTCACCTACGCGCACGATAGCCCCTCGCTCACTCACGAGTGCTCTGCGCCACGTGAGCTTAAAGTCATTTTCTGCCATTGAAAGGACTGTGTACGATGTTTGGATCTGACGAATATCTGAGTCATTAATTTCTAGTTTGTCTTCTTTCTTCGCTTGTATTTTTATTAACTGTTGTGAAAAAACAAAGTGATGGATGTTTGGGTGTATGTTTCTCGTGATGAACGCTAATGAAGTTTGTTAGTTTTACTTTTTTTGAGAAATATATATTTATTTCCTAATAAATTGTTTAGAAGCTGAATTATATAACTTGTTTGCGTTATTATTGGTTTAATACATTCCTATTAATATTAGTGTGGGAAGCTAAGGGGTGACTCTTAATTATAGATGGGGTTATATAACCGCACTCACTAAGGACACATGTATATTGGTGAATGTGTGATTATATGTAGATCTACAGTTAACAATGATCATGGGTAAATAATATGGCCATGTCTAGCATAGAGTTTCCCTTGTAGACCCACAGACATGCAATGTACTTTAACCACACATTTCTTGAATTCTATGCAATTCATCGCTTTGCTTCATGGATGTAATTAATAATTTTATCGCGGACAACGTGAATATCAATTTTCAAATGTTTGGTGCGAGAGTGTTGAATGAGATTGTTGGATAAGTAGATGGCGTTGACGTTGCCGCAGTATACGATGGTTGTTTTCTTAGGAGGGCAGAGCAATTCGGAAAGAAGGGTGCGCAACCATGTTGTAGTTTCGACGGCGACATATGCGACAACTCGCTATTCAACCTCCGCACCAGACCGATAAGTTGTGAGTTGTCGTCTGAAAGACCAAGAAATGAGATTGTTTCCAAGGAGGATGTAGTAGCCCGATGCCGATCATTGAGTGTCAGTCGAGCTAGGTGTAGGCTTGTTTGGAAAACAGTTCGACGGACTGTGGGAACAGTTTGACGCTAGAGGCATAGAAAATAGCGGGGGTTTGCTCGAGTTAAGCAAGTTGATTTTCTTCCATCTGGAGCAGCGAGTCTGGAGAAAAGTGAAAAGAGGGGTCTGGAAAGAAATGAGATTTTCTACTGTGCCGTAATTTTTGGAAAGCCCGTGCATCGTTTGTACTAGAACAAATTGTTTGTCGGATATTAAATTGCCGACAATCGGCCAAACTGTATGATGTGAGTTTAAGTATTTGGTAGTAATCATGGATGGAGAGAGACCCTTTCTTGAGACTTGAACTGCTCTTCAACAATTTTTATTATCGGTGAAGAGTGGGGAAATGGAGGTCCATAAATCATAGGTGATGGCGGTTTTGGAGAAAACCATGCCGGAGAGGTGGTCGGTGATGGTGCCGTAGATCCAAGATTGAAGGAGATAGTGTGCGGGTTTCCGTTCATCCGCAGTGATGAAGGCGAGCCTAGGCTTGCCATGAAGAAGGTCGAAGAGGCAGAAGCGGTCGACAGTGATAGGAAGAAATGGCTCCACTTTTGATAGTTGGGGCTTTTAATATCAAGAGTGACAGTAATGATAGTCTTGAAGTTAAGAGCGGCAGCGGGTGGAGGAGGATGAGTAGTTTCATTACCGACCATGGAAAAGAAAAGAGGCGACGACTAAAGAAGGGTGGTCGACGTCTAGATTGGGCTCTGATATCCTATAGAAAGAATAAAATTAAATGAGAGAAGTATATCTCTCAAATATATTATTAATATATATAGTGCATAAGGGAAAACTCTAAATAATTACAAAAAGTAACTAGGAGATATACCTGACAAAATTAAAAAGGTTTATACTATGCTACACCGGATGAAATACACTAAATAAATATATATCATTCATAAACACACACCCATATTGGTGTGTGTAGATTAGTAGTAAAATACTTCACTCAATATAGTATCTACTGGGTGTAGCATAGCAATAACCGATCAAGAAATATATCTATAAAAATAATAACAATAGATAAGATGGAAGACCTTGCTATCAACGCTAAATTTACCAGTTTTCAAGACCCAAAAGCATAAGAAAAAGAACATTGGATGCCTCCCATCGTCTGATTTCTCGGCTTTGAATTTCGTGGCATTTTGTCTTTCTATCTTAACAATATTTATTTACAAATACCACTTGCTAAAAAAACCCTTTCATTTTTCTTATTTTGTAGGATATCAACAAATTTATTTTGAATACTTATAAGTTTGAATGAGTGCTGAATAATTATTTTTCTTTTTGACAATTGATTGTCGATAATAGTGTTTTTCTTATTAATAATCTTATGAATTGCTTAATAATAATTTTTATTATTTTATTTTATAAATCGTGGGCGATGTATGTGAACAAGTTTTTTTACTTGTTCGTTTAATTTTTTAAAGACAAAAAAATTAAAGCTAACAATATAAGTGTATGGAGTAAATCTCCACGCTCGTACAATAACCAATTCTCGTACATTAGCTTGAGGAAATCGTTATTTAAAAAAAATATTTATCTCACATTTCGTGTGATTTGGTCCGTGGGGCTTCGTCTTCCTTGAGCCAACTTCCGTACGTACTCCGGTGATGGTACCTGCAACGCCGGGAGGGGTTCCCGGCGGGAAAGCTCCGACGATCAAGTTAGTATAATAATTTTGGAGTGGGTTTATGCAAAGTACGTAAAAAGCATGTGTGGAAAAATGCAATATCATTCCTTATTTATAGATGAGGAAACCTTGGCCTCCAAGGTTTCCTTTTTTAGGGTTTCTCCCTACCCTCAAGCCACACGTTTTGGGCCTCTGATTATCCTGGGCTCGTTTTACCTCGTATTGATACTGGGCCTGCGAGCTAAGGTATCCCATTTCGTCTCTAAGGTCGTACGACCTAACGACCTCTTCTGCCCTACCGGGCTAGGTTGTCATGGGCTTATCATCGTGGGCTTAATGTCATTTGGCCTTTCCAGAATGGCCCGTATCAACTACTCCCCCCTACTCCTTAATTATCGGACGAGAAGACTCTGTACTATCTCGTTTGGTAACTATGGAGTATAAAGTACGAAGTAAGGCTTCGTTTTTAATTTTTATTTTTGGTGGGGATGCGTGCCCTCCGCCTCCTGTCACCCTGTCAATCAATGTGGTCGATTCGAGTTCCCTAGGTCATTATGAGGGGATTTCAATCGGTGCTTTTGCATCGAGTTCGAGGCAGTCTGCTTTTAATCTCGTTCGTCCGAATGGGCGGTTGAGATTTAATTCCCCTTCATTTTTCCTCCTATAAATACCCAACTGACTTGTTTTGCAGAACTTTTTTCCCCTTTCACCTTCGTGCTCTTCCTTCTATTTGATTTCCCTTCCGGTGATATCGTTTTCTGAAACAGAGCTTTTACTTCTCGCGCCTATCCTTTTCCTCGACCAAGGTATTGCTTCTTCCCCCGATCTTTTATTACCCTTACCTAGTTTTTAAAATCGATTATGTCTTCCTATTCTCCTGACCCATTTGGGCAAAAAGTGCCTTCCGGGGAGGGGGGTGGACACCCCACCCTCTCCATTTCTTCCTCGTCGGAGGAGGGACCTTACTTCTCCCCTTCGGGCAAACTTTTGGAACGACCCAAGAAAAGGGGCAGAAAAGAGGTTTCGTCTTCCGCGAGGAGTGGTTCTCCTTCTCTATCCGAAGGACGGGATTTAGATGACCAATGGGGACCGAGTACTTTAAGCGAAGTAGATCTCGCTAACTTAGCCCGCGACATAGGCATCCCTACCGATGTCGAATTAGTTTTACCTTCGCGAGATGATCGCCCATTAAACCCTCCCCTAGGTTTCAGCACTTGGTTTTCGGAGCAATTCTACTTCGGTCTTTCTTTCCCCATCTCGCCCTGGTTCTCTGAAATTGCTCAACTATGTAACGTGTCCCTTAACCAATTCCACCCTCACGCTATAATAATCATGACTGGGTTTCGCATGCTGTGCGCCTGGTCGGGGGTAATTCCTACACCAGCTCGTTTCCGGAGCGTTATGGTGTTAAAGAATTCTAGTCCCTTTCACGTTTCCATCTCGGCCCGTCCGGGTTTTAAGATACTAATGCCACCCAACAAGACCGACGGGTGGCAGGGTCATTACTTTTTTGCGAAAAATCCCGTCGATGCCCCCTACTTATGCCCTTGGCTCGCTACCTTGCCTGAGAAGAAAAGGGGGAAACCTTTGGCAGTTGACGACTGTCTGTTAAAAATGATATCTCACTTCCAGCCGAGCTACGGTGTCCCGGATAGCCTCACCAGCTTTCCGCCGATGCTTCGTCATTTCTATTTTCATGACAACGGCACATATTCCTTAACCCGGGAAGATTTAGGTAGGTTTGGTCGCGACACCTGTCTTTATTTCGGTTTATTGTGTTACTTCGGATGCATGTTTTCGTCATCTCGTTAATTCTGTATTTATCTGTTCTGCGCCTCATTTACTTATCCCGTTTTTTCCAATTTTGTGGATAGATTTAAGGATGAAGAGGATGTTCCGAGGTGACAAACTGAAAATTTTCTTTTGATATCAATTACTCAGCTTGAGACTCGTAAATGAGCTAACCAAATTGGTACTTTACAACGGACAGGTAATACTCAAACGAGGTTCTCATTTTTCTTCAATATGTAGCTTATTAAAATTTGTTTAATTCTATTGGTCTAGTGCTTCAAAGTATTACAGCTGATGGCACCAATTTTTCTCAATGTGATGATGTTGATTATGTTTATACTACCATGACAATTTTTCAGTTTGTCTTCATTCTAATTTTGATGAAAGAAGTTATCGGAATTGCTGATGTTCTAAGATTTGCAGCAAAAGTCTCAAGATATCTTAAATGCTATTAATCTGGTCTCAACAACAAAGCTAACTCTTTTAAAAATTAAAGAGATAATGGATTGGATACTTTTCGGAGAGATGCTACATCATTTTGTGAAAGCAAGGAAGTTGAGATGCCTGATATGAATGCTATGAAAGTCGGGTCATCAACTAGATATTAATAGAAATATTAATTGAGCATCATTTTAATTTTGATATCTTTGATATCACAATAGACACTCAGTTGCAAAACTTTAATAACATATTTTGTGATCAAACTGTGGAACTCTTGACTCTTACCACTCTTGACTCTTACCCTCGCTTTTAGATCCTAGTAATTCATTAAGTCGTTTAACGCAGATAATATTTTCACTTTTGTTGAAAATATTATCCTGAGGATTTCACTGAGAAAGACTCCTTTTGAAATTCTAGGTGAATCATTATTATCTCGACGTGATCTAGCATCCGGATTGGAGCGGGGAGACCTACAGTGTGTTGTATTACACTTAGGGGTTGGAGTCCGATCATGGGGGTGTTTGGACTCGCCGTCGAGTTCGAGGGAAGAAACGTAGACGGCGTCGAAGCAAGGAAAAAAATCGGAGATGGGTTAGGCCTAGTGGGGTTGGAGTTGGTAATTTAAATAAATTGGATGGGCAGCCCAAGAGCCTTTGAATTAACAAGAGTAGAGAATGTTGAAGGTTATTAACACATGTCCAAGATGAACGTCGGGTTACGATCCAACTGTCCAGTGATAATCACATATAGAGTGGAGGTCATTTTGCTCCGACCTACAAAATCAAGGCAAATACTAGGTGACTCATTGGAGTTGACCCGTTGATCAAGTCAACATGAATATTTTTCTGTGGTCATTACAAATAAGCTCATCAATGGGTACTTATTCATAAATAGATCCAGACAAAAAACTCATTTAACAATAAGTCCACACATGGTCCAATTTTTTGTAAAGGACTAAAATAACCCCTCATACTTTAATTTGCTCCAATTTCACCTTAACTTAATATGACCCCAAATTTCACAAATTATTCAATTTTGACCCAAAACTTTTTTTTTCACAAAAAAAAAACAAACTTTTTTTTTCAAATAATTTTTTTTCCCGCCGGTCTCTGGCGTTGACTTTTTCGAAAAAAATTTCCCTTTCTTTCTGTAATTTTTTTTTTCGTTTAAACAACAATATTGCTGTGATTGACAGTAATATTAACTATATTACTGTTAAACACAGTAAAATTAACTAAACTACAGTTTAACACAGTAATATTGCTATATTAATCTCTAGCACAATAGTATTAAAACAACAAAACTCATTATTATTGTGTAATAGAGTAATATTACTATGTTGACCGTTCAACAAATGTAAACATAATAAAAAGCCAAAAGAATTAATATTACTATGAGTGACAGTAATATTACTATAACAACAGTAATATTACCGTCAACCACAGTAATATTAAAATAATAGATAGTAATATTATCACGTTACTCCGTGAATAACTCAAACAAACAAAAAAATCCAAACAAAATAATAATATTGATGTGGTTGACAACAATATTTCTATAACAACAGTAATATTACCGTCAATCACAATAATATTATTGTGTTTACAGTAATATTACAATAATAGAGTATTACGTTACTCCGTGAATAACTCAAACAAAACAAAAAACCCAAAAAAATAATAATATTGATGTTGTTGACAGTAATATTATTGTGTTTATAGTTATTTTACTGCCAACGACAATAATATAATTACATTGGCTTGCCAACAAATCAAAAATAAAATAAAAAAATGACAAAAAATAAAAAAATAATAATATTACGTTAATTTACTGTCAACGGCAGTACAATTACGTTAATTGAATGTCATTGACAGTATAATTATGTTAATTTACTGTCAACACCGGTGGCAAAAAAAAAAAAAAATCAAAAAAACAAAAGTCAAAATTGGATTTTTGTGGTCAAAATTGGATTTTTGTGGTCAAAATTGAATTTTTGTGGACAAAATTGATTAAATTGACGTTACACTTAAGAATTTTGTATAAAGGGTTGGGGGTAATATTGGCATATGCATGAATTTTTCCTTTATTTATAATAAATATTAAATGGATGAGCATATTGGTGAAAGATGTATATCCCTTGGTTGGTGACTTATGCACAAAAACCTTTATTTTTTATGATAGAAAACTCTCTAAATTGCCAAGAAAATAAAACATATCCCAAATTGATAGTGATTTTTTTATGGATTTTTCACTTGATGGGCTTCATTTGGACTCTTGCCTCCAATAATCCACGTGACAATTAAATTTAGTCCTCATGGACCAAATTAGTTATACATATGGATTATCAACTTGAATAATTCCTGTGATAATTGAAATTAGGCATAGATTAAATAAATGTATACATGAATTTTTAATTTGAACAATCCATGTAATAATTGTAATTAGATATTCACAGATCAGATTAATTATATACATACATCATTAAACCCCTAACTCGTGGGTCGGCCAAGGAATGGAAAACATATAAAATGAGTAAACAGTGTTAATTGGAATTTGCAAGCCTCCCTTGCTTTGTGGACATAACTTTAAGAATTTTGACACATGATGATTGGGTTATGGGAGAAAATCTCAAAGAGATCCCAAGATATACACTTATCAACTTTATGAGTTTGGCATTTACTGCAGTGGTAGGGGGTTTTTAGAGTTTGAGTTTGTACGATAAATAATATATATTTTTTTTACGATTTAAATTTTTTTTTAGTTAAATTTGGAAGAGAGATGTATGGTGGAATTTGATTTGGTAAAGAGATTTTGGTGGATTTGTTTTGATTTAATTACGAGTATGTATGCCATAATAAATGTATTTAATTTGTCAAGACATGGAGATTTTGGATATGATCGCATAAATTATAATGTAAATGGACCTATAACAAATTGCCCCTATATACAAACACCTAAAAATATAAGATGTCAAGAATAAAGGAAAAAATAGTTTTCTTGCAATGAAGGTTGATCTTGCTAAAACTTTTGATACAGTTGAATGGAAAGTTATTGACTGTATCTTGCTTAACCTCGGGTTTTCTTTGAAATTCACGGGTTGAGTAATACAATGCTTTTTCGTTGATGGTATTACATCTACTGCTTTCCTGTTCGCAGTAGCAACGACTCAGTTGTTTATGCCAAGTCAAACATTCATAACTGCCTTAATGCTCTTGTTGTTGAATCCTCGGCCATCCATGAAATGATGCCAAAATCAAGAATGTTATCTTTGAGGCCGACTCTCTTAATGTGACTCGCTTCATCATCGACCACGGTTCTGTGTAAATTGGTCTGCAAAATTGATCATTGAAGAAATCCGAAAGTTTTGGCATTTTTGACCGAAGTGGAGATTCAAATATTGCCCTAAAACTGCTAATTTTGCCTCTCATAATCTAGCAAACTGAGCATTTTTGTCAAAATAGTATGATGTGACTTGTGCTAATTGTATTCCTCTTTCTAGCTTTTGTGGCTTAGGTCACCCCTTTTAGACTCTTATTATATTCAGCCTTATTAATGCATTAATATTTTCTCATAACAAAAAAAAAAAAAAAAAAAAAAAGGAGCAAAAGTACAAAACAAGCCTCATTTGATAAAATCAACAATTTCAGCTACCTTGAGTCCTCCACCTTGGAGTGGGACCCATACATCAACACACTCCCCGGACCGCCACGTAATCACCTAGCCCCTTCCAGACCGTCCTTCATTTTCTCCTCTCACACAGACTTAAAACGCGCCATTTGCCTCTTCCCCCGTTCAAAATCTCCCCCAAAACCCCTCTCTCTCTACTCTCTCTCCTCTCTCTCTCTATCAAACCCTACCCATTTCCAACGCACAACATAAACATCACCCACATTGACATACCAACATACATTTATCAAATACAAAATATGATGCCTCACTCTTACGCCACCGATACGCAGAGCAAGTCCACCGAGCTGGCCTCCGCCGTCGCCGCCGCGATTTCTCCGGCTCAGATCCTCTCCGCGTGCGCCGCCGTCGAGTCCTTCCTCAGAAAGCACAGCCCCGACCAGCAGCGGTGGTTCTTCTCCATCACCTTCCCAACCCTAATTTCCAGAATCTTCGGCTTTGACGACTCCTCGCCTCCTTCTGCAGCTACCAAGGGCCGTCCGTCCAATGGATGGATTGACATCGCCGCCTCGGGAAATGATACGGAGCTCGCAGGTAGGGGTTTCTGTGTACGCAGTGATTGTTTATGACTATCAGTTTTTAATTGGTTTAATTTTAGATTGTTTATGATTATCCGCGTGCGCCGCCGTCAGTTTTTAAATCTGGAATTCTTTGTTGAGTTACCTCATATTGTTGATTTCCGAGCCATTTAGATTTCGTACTACTCGCTTTTTATTGATACTGGTCTCTGTTTCCGGTATTGATTTATATTATACCTAATATTTGATTGAATTCAAACTTTTTTTTTCTTCAATAATTTTAAAGTTTGGCTGCTATATCAATCTGTTTACACTGAGGCGCTAGCAAATTTTAGAATAGACTCGTTTATGAGCGTATGTGAATATGAATATGCTGCTTTTTATTCCCTACAGTGCAGCCATATTTGTTAATCTCACTCGTGTTTGTCCTACTTCAGGTAGAATATTTAGCCTACTATCACCAAATGGAGTGCTATTATCTTCAATTTCAGGAGTTGATCGGCTTTCTCTAGTCAATTATGTTTTCCCTACTGAGCGGTTACCCGAATGGGTTCGTTACATGCTTCAAAGTGAGAAAGATTGTCGGGTTTTGACAGACTTGTGCCCTTTGTTCAAGTACAGGATTAAGGAAGATTCAATTAAGGGCACTTCTTATCAAGTTCAATTGAATGTTTTTGAGTATTACTTGTTCTGGTTTGCTTATTACCCTGTTTGTAAAGGTAATAGTGAGGGTTCGGAGACGGTGAAGGTTCAGAGGACCAAGAAGTTTAGGTTGGAGAACTGGTCCTATTCAATCCCTGGTCTTTCAAGTACTAAACGCGAAACAGAAAAGAAGACCGAGAGTAACTTGTACATACGGCTACTGTATGTATATCTTCATTCCTTCGTGCCTGTCCAAGACTTGAAAGTGCATCAGCCCTACCGTAGTTCCTTACTTCACTATTCTCCTGGTTATGATAGTTCTGCAATAGAGCGAGCAGAGTTTGTAGTGAACACAGTGATCCATTTTTGGCTGGTCGATAATGACTTTTCACCATTGCCTGCGGGTTTGTGCAAGCCTTTTGGTGTAACTTTTCCTTTCAGGTCTGTTCTGGGAGAGACCCCACCTACATCAGGATTGGGTGATCTTATTAATGTTTTCATTAAGTATCTGAGTATGAGTTCACTGACAGCTATGGAAGGGCCCAATCAGAATGAATATGTTGGGTCTCCTGGGTGGAGAGGTTCAGGTTCATTTGTTCCATCAAGAGATGCTGCTTTGAGTATACACACTATCAGTTCTTGGAACTTGTTGATTCAGAGGCCACTGTACAGATTTATTTTGAGAACTTTTCTGTTTTGTCCGGTGGAAACTTCCATAAAAAATGTGTCCCAAGCATTTTCCGTCTGGGTCAATTATATAGAACCTTGGTCAATCAGTTTTGAAGAGTTTGCTGATCTTAATGAAACTTTGGGAAGTTCAGCAAACAAAGTTCCTAATTCATCTTCTCCTGGATATGCATCCACTTGGGAGGGATTTATATTGGATAACTACCTATTTTATAGCTCCTTGGTCATGCATTTTATTGGATTTGCTCACAAGTTTCTCCATTCAGACGCAGAAGTAATAGTTCAGATGGTTGCTAAGGTATGTTCCACTTTGATCTGGCCTTAAATTTCTTTCATCTTCGTTCCTTTCTACTGGTTTGTGTTGCTATAAATGTGTCCCCAGAGACTGACCCTTTTTTCTTGTGGTAAATGTGTTCAATCTGTATAATTGCAAAAGTAGGCATTGGTAAAAGCCATATCAAGTCACTGTTTATAACACATTAGTGAAGAGAAGCGGGCAGCAGCTGTCTTGATCTCTTTAATCTTATTGATAACCTCATGGAAGTTGACATATGTCCTACTACTACAGCTATCTTTTCACCATCTCTCTCACCCTGTGTTTTTTTTATATTGTTTATAAAAACTTAAGTGCACACATGGAGTTTGTAGAAACTTATCGATTACTTTTAAGCCTGGAAGGGATTGACATTTCTTATACTTCATTATCTATCAGAAGAGACTTATAGAATAACATTTATGTAATATTTGCCTTTTCTTTTGAAGTAATGAAGTCTGATGAAACACCAACAAAAACTTTGGGAATTTGGTCACGTAGATGAATTTATCTTTTTTTCGTTTTCCCCTTAGACTATTAGGTTGGACCATAGCAAGGTATAAGTTGTCTTGGATGGCAACCTATGTAAATATGGGAGAGGTCTCTCCTTAAGTTTCTAATGGAAGCATGTCTTATTTCCTAGAGTTCTTTTTACATGCTTAGGTGCTTCTCTGAAACGTGAGCTTGTTCTCCATGCTGTGCACATAGTATTTTTATCAATGCCAAATATGATTATATATACAACAGTCTGAATTTTTACTCTCATCTAGAAAGTTGACTACTATATGTGGAAATGTTATTTTTGTTTCTGCTTCCAAATTGTTCAAATAGTGCTAGTGTGTAGGCGCATGGAAAAATTAGTTGATCGGGATCTTAAACTTAACAAAATTAATTTGCCAGGACCCCTACAGCTCATATTTATCATTCTAATTGTTTCGTTGGAAATCATGCCGCATCTTTCATCAAACTTGACTTTCATATGCAGTTAGTATTTCTTTTAGAATTAGTCTGCATTTCTTGGACCATCCATTTTTTCAAAATAAAGAATAATAAGAAATGAGCCATGTCAAGTATGCATAAATCAAAGTGCAGACTTATCCCTACCCTTGCAAGTGATGAATGTCTCTGCAAATATCTCTAGAATTCGTAATCTTCTATAAGAGGATTGTAATAAAACCTCCTAACTTCTCTTTCCTATCCTTACATCTACGTACTTTTTAAAATTGTGGGTCATAATTATAGGATTATTGTCCCACAATACAGAAAATATCTGACATCGGGACCTTTCTTTGACTCGTCATATTTGTAGTTAGAATATTTGTTTTAGAACCTTTCTGAAGGTTTCTTTAGAACTGCCCAACGTTCACGTAGGTGTCGCAACCTCCTGTTGCATCTATTACATGTCATAACCCTGTCGGAGATCAAAGACTGCCTGCCTTGTCACTCTGATGTGTCTGTGTTAAGATTGTTACTGTCTTGATGAGATTTCTTCAACTCCTCGCGTTCTTGCATGTTCTAATCCTATTTGTTTGAATCCACTCATTTGGGTTTTTAGCATTTATATGTCTTCTGGTGATGACATCAACACGGAGTGATCACAAGGTACATACTTAGTGGCCTCTTCCAATGTCAACATTAAGAAAAAAGGTGGACACTACATATTTGGGTACTACTCAAGCTTCCGTTAATGATACAAGATCTATAAGAGTTGTACTCATCTGATAATGGTCCAGTTATCATCTAAACAAGTTCGAATATGTGTTTTAGTATGATTTAGAATGCATTTCTAACATCTACAGAAGTATTACATGCAATGTCTTAGTTTATGGTTGTTATTAGTTTGTATCAGTTACATGCTATGTGCCACTTCCATGGTCTTGTAAAAAACGTGAAAGGCATAAAATTGACCTCACTTGCTAGCCTGTTTAGGATGTTACTGATTGCTAGCCTCATAGGAATAGTTCACTATTTGGTATGCTGCCTGGAACATGAAATTATTGTATGGAGTAAGCAAGTAAATAAAAACATGGAATTTTAGTTAAATTTTTTGATTAGAGTGCCATAAACTGTCAATTGATAGTGATAAGTGAGTATTACGATTTTGCCAACACTATGCATTTAAATTTTGCACGATTAAGCACTTGGACCAATGCATTTTAAAAATAATGTCTTGCAACTTATAACATATTAATATAAACAAAAACACATTTTAGTTTCTGTTTATTAGTAGAATGCATTTGTTTAGTATTTTGGATGCCTCAAATGTCAGTTACTCATGGAATTATCCTAAATCACAGACTTGTATTTGGGATTCTTAATGCCGAAGTTGTAGCTTGGAGATTTTGCTTTCGGAGACAGAAAATTAATCACATACTAAGTACATTTAGAGAAGATTGAATCGTAGATTAAGACAGGGAGAGAAGCATAAGACCTGTTAAATCATCGGGCCTCCACATGTAAAAGGATCTTGAAGGAAAAGTTTGAAGGAGAGCTAAACTCCCTGACAACTTTACCTCAACTGTAGCCTCTCCTCTGCCATCTTTCTATTTATTCTTCTCTCTGAAGCAATAGGAACCTACACCACTGGCTGTAACCATCCTCCATTTTTGTTTTCTTTTTTACTCTTTTGCTGAAAAGAAATCTATCTTCCTCAAGTCCTCTTAATTTTTTTTCGCTGCAGCCGGTCAGCCTCCTTGACCGGGTCGGTTTGCACAAACAAAAAATAAAATAATTGCTTTTGCTGATCTTGCTTGTCATGGTCTCGCTATGTTGCAATTTAATTGCTCTTTAATCTTTTGGAGATTCGACAGATACTATATGTTTCCTAAAATGGATATATTTCTCCCCGGAAAATACATTGTTAATCATAATGTTAATGTGTAACAATAATTTCACACTAGTTTATAGGGGCAAAACTACACGAATAAAAAAAAAAAAAAAAGAAACATCATCGTTTTGTATTTCATCTAAATTCCTTTCTTATTGAAGATGGAAGGAATAGGAGTTGATAATGCTCATATAGGGATTCAAACTCCTGTACTGTTTTTCTCTGATGCTTCAAATATTTGTTAACAATGTTGTTAATTTGCTACCTGATACATCTCTTTTCCATTGGTACATGTCATGACAACCACAAATCTGTTGAAACAACTACGAAGTCATTTGTCTGATGTCATGGGTCAGCCTTTTATTCTTAGATATTAATGTATACCAAATTAATGCAGGTTATGAACATATTAACATCGTCTAATGAGCTCATGGATCTCATAAAGAATGTGGACACTGCTTTCCATTCAAAAGCCACTGATTCCTCTAAATCTTCTAAATCAGTGCTTACTCCCTTGCACAGATATACTCCGACAATCCGCCAACAGTTACAGGTATTGGTCTTTGCTCTTCATTATTTCCCGTACTAAATTGTTTTTTTCTTTTGTGATGGTTTACTTCTCTTCAAAAAACTTGCATGTGCTTGTGCTTAAACAAACTTTCCCTTTTCAAAGGATTTGTGAAATATTACTTCTATAAGGAATTGTGAAGGAGACATTTGGTCACGAGGGAAATATTTGAATCGTGCTGTCCTTATTGTAACTTTAGAATTCACCTTGCTGTGGTATATGTAATAGATTGCCAACCGTGATATTTTCATTCAGCAACATTAATTTCCGAGGATCTTTGCATCTAAATTTTTGTTAGACATGTGCTTAAAAGTTATCAAACCATAGTGGCACAAACATTTTATCAATTATCCAATTATCAATATGCACAATAGACGTCTCATTGACAACATTATTTACTTCAGTTTTGGGGAATATTGAAGAAAGTTTTGCAAGCTCGACTCTACTCTGCCCTCTTTAGTCATCTAAATCGAAACACATTGATTGTTTCCTCTTCTTTCGACCTGCTTTTACAGGGTGTTGAAGTAATTCAGTTATTGGGATATTGGTTTCTCTTGCTTTTAATTTCTCGAATAATTTAGTTTTGTTTCTGATTATTTCAGGATTGGGAGGATGGTCTATGTGAAAGTGATGCAGATGGATCCTTTTTGCATGAGAACTGGAACAGAGATTTACGACTCTTTGCTGATGGTGAAGATGGTGGTCAACAGCTGCTTCAGGTAAGAAAAAAAAGATATTATTATGAACAAATAGATTGTTTTTTTCTTAATGATCTATACATCTTGTAATTTACTCCAGTAACTCTCTATTTTGCAGCTGTTTTTATTGCGTGCCGAGTCTGAGTTGCAATCAATCTCTGGAAACAATCTCCAATGTCTGGACTCTCTGAAATCGCACTTGAGCCGATTGTTCGGTGGTCCTATTACAAAATCCTCACCACCTCAGTCGAAGCATAATCATCCCATTCAACATGAGCAATCACGAGACGAAATATTCAAGCCTAGAAGCTTCCGGAACAAAATAGGTGGCGCCGAGATAAAATACAAGGGTGACTGGATGAAGAGGCCATTCTCGAATGACGAGATTGCTTGGCTAGCCTCGTTTCTAGTCAATATATCCGGTCGCCTGAACGAGAAACTGGGGTTGAACCAGGTTGACTGCATTGACCAAAGAGGCTCCGATTGGTCCTATGTGGAAATGAAAGGCAACGGCGTACGAAGTGTAAATGGACCTATGGAGACGCTCAAAGTGGTCTTTTGTTGTCTGCTTTCTTGGATTATGTGGTTTGGTGGGGCCGGCGTGCAACTTATGAGGTCACATGGTTTGAGGGTAAATCTTCGATTGTTAGCTTCGAAGAAGATAGTTGTGATGGTGCTCGTTTTTGCTGCATTCAATCTTTTGAAGAGAGCTCTTGCGCTGCAGAATGGTTTATACATATAGTATCTCTCCATACGACAATGGAAGAATGGAATCGAACATTGTGAATATACATACACAAACAAATGGAAGTTAGACTGTATAGAAAACTTGGTTTCGCTGTGGTGGTTTTGTAAGTGCGAAAATTTTGATATCAGTTTGCATTTTGGTTTCTTGTGCTCGATTTATCGTAATTTTGCATCGAGAAACCCCGGATGTCTATGAATTTCAGGAATATCCCTCTGATTCATTGAGAGCTTTTCGTGTTTCGATCGACTGGCCCTTAATTAACTTAACCGTAGGTATTGTAGATATGAAAATACATTAATTAATTATACGCGCTTCCATTTAAATCCAGGCATCATAATCCTCAATATTAATCGAGATTGATTCTCCTGCAAATTTTGAGATAAAGGTGAATAAATATGCAAGCAATGTATATACGGTGAGTTACTATTGGAACACCTCGTGGAAATAGAGACGAGATGTGCACGAAGGCGCACACTTTATGGGTGCTGGCTCACATGCACTGTGCTAGACAAATCGAAACTGCCCTCAGAGCATTGTAAGCAGAAGATCTACCGTGAAACGGGATAAACGAAGGTCGATCATAAAACTGCTAAAGCCACTATAAACCCTTTCATGAATCAATATTACTCAACTCAAACTTATTAACTATTAGACCTGCATATTTATATCAAACTACAAAAGATTTAACTCTTAAAAATTATTTATGCAAACATGCAAATTACTAATATATAGATAATTATTCGAAATCATTGTATAAATAATACATTCTTGAAAATTCAAACGATAACGCCCATGAACCCTAAAAATATAATCATATATTTAATTTAAAAACTTTAACAGTATATAACAACAGAAAAATCTCACGTAAAATGTGCGCATCCGCCGGCTTCGGTTGCGAATCAAACTGCACTAGTCCAACAATTAGCTGTGATTTCTAGTAGTAATAATAAGGATTGTATACTTGTGGACGTGGTCGATAATAATAACTATAGAGAGGATAACCACGATAAGGAGGGATCGCGTTATTGTTGTTGTCGTTGGAATTAACCGGCTTTTCTTGAACGGGATTCTTTTTAGTTTCGGGCATAAAAAGATTGGCGGAACACTCTCCGAACTGAAACCAAAGAAGCTGTACTTTTCTTCTCGATTTGCCTATCTTCTTCAACACTTGATCGGGATATCCTACCCCGGATAATTCCACCACCCCATCTCTATCCATCTTGAACCGTGGTCCTATAATTAATTAATTATATTAATATGAATGAATGACATAAGACGAGAAATAATTACGGCGTGAGTGAGTGAGGGATCAATATCCGCACCTTGGCAACTCTTAATTAGTTTCGATACTTTTTTTTCCCATTCTTTGCTAGTATCCACTTTTACGATAAAAGTCTGCAGCAACCGACAAAATTAATTAGTTCGTGACGGAAAATGTTATATACGAACAGATTGAATAATACCATGAAAGACGGCAAGTCGTCCTCTCTGACAGGTTGATGATATCCTTGTACTTGTGCTGCCGGAGAAAACATTCGGAAAAGTGGTTTCAGTGTTCTGAACACCTTCGTTATTTTCGTTATTTTGTTACACAACTTTCCGAGTTTCAATTTCTTGTGGATTTTCATTGGCTTCCATGTTTTGAGCACCTTCGTCACACTATCCATTGACCTTTAATTTTCTGTCGAAAGAAACGAAGAAAGAAATCACTAATGCAACGTCAAACAAACTCCCTATAATCGAAAAATCAGGTTACGGGCGTGCGAGATTAAAAGTAAGACCAACATGAAAAGCAAGGAAATTAAAATATCAATACAGCCATAACAAAATTACTGGACATAAATTCCATAGCAGAAGAAAAACACCACAGGTAATTTTATTAGTGCATAAAATTTACCTGTCAGCTGCAGTAGCTGCTGCTGTAAAAATGTAATGAAAAATGTAACCAAGGGTTAAAGGGCCTCGGTTTATATATTTATATGTAGGTGTTGCATAATAATTATAAGAAAACATACCTAAATTTAAATATTCTATTTCCCCTAATACACAGATTTATTTCCAGTATTATTTATTCGAGAAGCAAATGTTAAGCTAAAACTTAAACAATGATTTTCTGCAATTTAAATAAATAAACGGATGGATCCCAATTTCTTGCAATTTAAATAATGTTAAGATAAGACTCAAACAAATGCATTAACGGATGGATCCCAATTCTGCATTTTAAACACATTAATGCCATGATTTAAATTACGACAACCTAACTTAGGTTGTCATAATTATTTTTTTCTTACCAATTTTTTAAATTTAGCATATTTTATCAATTTATTATTTTTAGCATATTTTATTTTTTGGTGAATAAATCAATGTTTTTTTTTTTCCCATTTTTATCAATATTCCAACAAATGTGCAACGTCTTAGCCACATAACCCAACATCTCAAGCCCCAAATTCTCATTCCAACGAATCCAAAAATCAATACAAACAAAATGTTTTCTTTTGGTTGTTTATAAGGGCATCTCCTCTCGATGGGGGCGGCTCCCCCGGGGCTCCCCCGACCCCGACCCCAATCCATTTTTCGACCAGCCGACCAATCTCTTTCTTCTAATTTTTTCCAACACCACTCTCACCATATAATAATAATAATAATAATAATAATAATAATAATAATAATAATAATAATAATAATAATAATAATAATAATAATAATAATAATAAGTTATTTATTATATTTTCATTTTTTAACTATGCTTTGTAATATAATAACACGTAATGTTAATATAATTAATTGAATATTTACAATAAAATTACTATTTTAAATTAAAAAGATCGAATTAGAGAAAAAAAACGAGAAAACTAAAGTAAAATAAAAGAAGTTAATAATAAAATGAAAACAAATAAAGAAAAAAGAAAGAAACAAAAAAGGAAAAAAAGAAAGAATTAAAATAAATAAAGAAAATATACAAAAAAACAAAAGAAAATAATAAAAAAGAAAATACTAATGTGGAAAAAAAAAAAAATGGAAGAAAAGTCTCGTACGTGAAAGTCACGTGAGGCCTAGGAGAGTGAGAGCCCAGGGCTTCTCCCTGGGCTCAAATGACACCCCCAGCCACCCCAACCCCCCCACCCCAGTCTCACCCCATCCCCACCCCTACTCATTAAACACCTCAGCCCCACCCCCATCCCACCCCTCCCCCAATACATAGGAGATGCCCTAAGTTAGCATGGTGTGGTCTGAAAATAACTGTATACGAGGTACTTTATTACTTTGTGTATTAAATTAATTTGTCTTGCTATCTTTTTAAGGTTAGTGAAAAGAGTACCCTTTATTTGCTTATTCATTTTCCAATAGTACTTATATTTCACCCTTAAACATAATTAAAATCGAATGACTAACCTTGTCAAAAATCGTTATGGTAGTCATGACTGGATGCCTCCACCATCCCATGAAGAACGGATAGTAAGTTCTACGGAACGTTTATGATCCCCGTATTTGTCGCCCCAATCATGTGTTAACTTGTTTGCCCAATCCACAACCATAGGGTTGCAGTCGAGTACTTCAATGATTTCGAGAGATGTACCAAATGTCAGATGGATCTTTTTTAACTTGTAGCAATGCTTGATTCTAAGCACTCGAATTGCGGGTAGGCATGAAGAGTTTTGAAATGCCCATTGCTCCAGATCAATGTCTTCAATAACAATAACTTCAAGTCTTTGGAATTCGCCGTCACGAACTACCCACTTTGGCCCTCGAAAGGCATAGCATTTCAACCTGAGAAGTCTAAGATTTGGTAATGAAGAAATCTTGCTTATTTCTTCCCATTGATATCCAAAACCGCCGGTCAACGTCAAAGATGTAAGCGTTGCTGGAAAATTTGAAAGAGGAGCAAGTGGAGTAACAACCTCTGCCTTCAATATTGGATTCTTGATTTCACATGTGAGAATATCTAGTTGATGGAGATGGAAAATGTGATCAAAGAAGCTCAAGAGTTTTGTAGAATCGGGAACTAGTTCGATGCTAATTAATAACACCTTCAAATTAGGGATTTTTTCAAACACATCTTTGGTACAACTATGAGGACCGACACCAGTTAGTGTTAAGAGGTTTGATAGGAGAGATGCTTCACGGCAAGGATGTGGTAGGTCTCTTCCAATGGTCTGAAGAAACTTCAAGTCTTTCATATTCCATATTTCAATATGCAGATACGATAAATTCCCAACTGATTTTACTATGCTATATCGATGAACAATCAAGTGCTGAAGGTTCCACAATTTGGATATGGAGGGAGGGAGATTTCCGTTATAAAGGAGGGCAAGGTATCTTAGTTGAACTAGTTTCACCACTTCCAATGGGAACTCATACAATCTTATTTTAAGAGCGTCCAATACCCTTAGCAACCTTAAATTTTCCAAACACAATGGTACTGGATATTTAAGAGATGGACCTGTACATAGGAGTGAGCGTACCTTTGACGTTGGTGCGATTGAGTTTTGCACATCTTCGACGGCAAGTAGAACATTATTTCGTATGCACAATCGATGTTCGTAGTTTAGACCTTTGTTTGCTATAGCATGAGCAAGACTATTGAAGGCGTAGAAAAACTTTGTCTTTGCGGCTTCTTTGCTACATAGGTACCAAAAGGATGAATGAAGGTGGTACCCAGCTGATACTTCTATATCGAACATGATAACATTTCTTGAATTAAGGTCATGGAAATAACCGTAGTTATCAGTCGGGTCTCGGTCAAGAAATCCTAGTCTGCGTGTTCTCGGTAGCTTTTTCCTTTTATTATTCTTCTATTTTATCATGACTTTTGCGTGTCTAGTGCCACGTATCAGTTGAATTCGGTATGTGAGGTGAAATCCGAGAGGAGAAAAACAATGTAGCCGAACTGCCGAAACGCCGTCGCCGAACCGCCGCCGTACGCGCTCTCATGCGACGCCCGAAGATAGCGCGTGAATCTCACGTGCCGCCGCTGCCCCACGCGTCCATCTCTGCCGCTTCTCCCGACTTCACGGATTGGTTTCCGTGGCACTTTGAGTCAATCCGAAAGTTCGCCTCACGCTTCAAGAGGTAATTTTCGGATCCGATATTATTATCTTGTATTAATTTAATATGATTAAATTATATGTTTATATATGCAGTATGTTTTTCATGAATGATGTTATGATATAGTTTAGGGTAAATTACAAACACCCCCTGAGGTATGGTCAATTTACAAAAAAAACCCTCTTGTTTGGATAATTACATCTACCCCCCTCAACTATGTTTTTTTTCTTACACCTCCACCCTTATGGTGTCAAATTCAACATAATCATCTAGATTTCGTATAATGTGCTCTAGTTTGTACTCGTTTTGTGTAAAAATACAGTTTCTGAAGCACTACAATCTGATATATACAAGCCAAAAAACACATATTATGATCATCTTGCTTCAAAATGCAGAGTTCGAATGTGATAAAACGGGTACAAAAGTGATAATATTCTATATAATCTCGAAGATTCCACTAACTTGAGGAGTTGAGGGGGTGGTTGTAATTATCCAAACAAGAGGGGGGGTTTTGTAATTTGACCATACCTCAAGGGGGTGGTTGTAATTTACCCAATAGTTTATGCATGATTTGTGATTTACTGCGAGCATGCTCTGTGATTTAATTAGTGAATAAATTATATGCATGTTTGTTTATAATTTGCGTTGGAAGCATTAAGGTACGCAAATAATTGCTATCATCGAGTACGTGTTTATATGATAAATTCTTTTTATATATATATATTTTTTTTGTTTTGCGTTGCGTACACGTTGTTGGAGAGATTGACGTAACAAGGGTTGGGGATGTTGAAGATTTCGAGAGGGACGGGGCCAGAGAGGAAGCTGGCAGCAGCGAAGAAACTGATGAGGGGCCTGAGGCGACCCTCGTCGGGGAAGAGTATGTTGGGACGCTGAGGTTCAAGAGAGTGACGTCATGAAATTCCTGCCGAAGACGCCATGTCATTGCAATATGGAAAAACTTGGTCCATTTTAGGGTTCAGGGGTTAAATAGGTAATTCCTGTTTGCCTATTTTCCTTTTTTTGAAAAGATGGTAAAAGTGACATTTTATACACCGATTACACATTGTAAATGGAACCATCTAACAAGGGAACTTCAGACAATATTCTGACTAAGAGGGGGTGAGTTATATATATATATATATATATATATATATATATATATATATATATATATATATATATATATATATTTGATAAAAATGAAGTATGTATACTACAAAAATTAACATCATTAAATGTAATAATGTAATACGACAAGTACAACGCACGTGCTTGTCTAGTGCCATAAAAAATTGGAGTGACTTACACAAAATTATTAATTAGCGGTTCTTTGAGGAAACCCGCTCATTACTTATTTTAATGGAGAAAGACCCAAATTATTTCTCTCCATTTGAGAAAAACCCACATCCATTTCCAATTATTATATTTTCTAGTTTTGTCCCCGCCAGCCACATCATCACCGCGCCACGCGCTGGTCATCCGCGAATTTCTTTTTTCTCGTTTTTTTATTTTCCGTTTTCTTTTTTATATATGTATTAATTTTATTAATTGACTATGAAGCATAGTCAACTAAGGAAATTGTTTATTTATTATTATTATTTTTTTAACTTTTTTGTTTTTTTTTTCTTTTTTTCTTTTGTATATCAGTATATTAATCGACTATGATGAAGTATAGTCGATTAAGAGTTTGCTACTAAAAATAACAAATCAAAACTGTAAAAAAACGCAAAATCAACTATATTTTACAAAAACAAAAAATATAAGAACATTATAATTGATTTATACAATTGGAATCAATAAACAAAAAATCCAAATAAAAAATTGGAGTTGATCAACCTTAATCGACTACCAAAGCATAGTCGATTAAGAATCTACTAATAAAAATAACAAAACACAACTGCAACAAAATGCAAAATCAACTACATTTTACAAAAACAAAAAATATACCAACATTATACTTGATTTATACAATTGGAATCACGAAACAAATAATCCAAAAAAATAAGTTGGAGTTTATCAACCTTAATCGACTACCAGAGCATAGTCGATTAGCTTGATCGACTATTGAACATGTACATAGTCGATTAAGATTCCAGCCTGCGTGAATTTCTCTACACGCGCCGTCGTCCGCCCGATCCCCATAAAACCCTAAATATGCTTCCCCATCGTCGTCGCACCACACATTTCAACCAATCCTTAACAAGAATAAAATAAATAAATAAATAACTCATACAAAAAAACACAAATTATCATTTCAAATGGCCAAAAAAAAAAAATAACCGAGAACGATTCAGAGGTATTTGTCAACCGTTGTTGGTCACTCCATAAACAATTTTTGAGCACATGACAAAACCAACACTAAAAAATAATAAAAGCAAAAAAAAAAAAAGTACCTTCATCAACAATTTTCGTTGATTCTCCTCCGACGACGAGTGATTCTTCTTCTTTCTCAACAGCTTGTTCCTCTTCTTCTTTTTCCTCCACACGCCGAAGGGGTGGAACATGCTGTTGAGAAAGAATAGTGTTTCTCCTTCACACGCCGACGACGAGTGATTCCTCTTCTTTCTTTCTCCATCTTCTGGCGGCGGCGGCAACGACGGGGACAAGATTGCCGGAGAAAACAAAGAAAAAAAAACAGAGAAGAGAAAAAATAGAGAAGAAGAGAAGAGAGAAACACACAGACAAGAGAAGAGAGAAACGAGAAAGCGGCGGAATAAAATTAAAGAAAGCGGCGGAATAAAGTTAAAAATAAGATTATGATTTTGAAAAAGTATAATAGATAACTAAGGGTAATTTTGAAATTATGAAAATATCACATGGGTGGAATATTAGCTAAATGGGTTTTCTCTAATTATTTTTGGGAGGGGGTGTTTCTTTAAGTATATTTCGTAGATGGGTTTTTTTTCTCTAATTTTCCCTATTAATTATGACTTGAATTTATATCTGCATAATGTAATTCTTAGAGGGCTATAGCAAATTGCCCAATTGTATGAAGTGGGAAGTTAGGAAAATTATTTTGCTTTGCTAGGGCTTCCATCTCGGCGACGCAAGGTCAGATCAGAGAGACGAAGAACTCTACATCGACTACTGTGTCGTGCCCAAGCGAGTTGAGTGATGAACCCACCATCAACGCATCTTGTGATCTCATGCATCTTTCACTGGCAAAATAATTGTATACCTTGGATTAGAAAGGCGTTATATATAATGCATAGTTTTTGTAGTATATGTACACAGAATAGAGTTGCAACTTTTTATCTTGTTTTGTGGAAAATGACACACAAAATCACACACAAAAGGAAGAGGGGAAGAACCAAAATATAAATGAAAGAAGACAACACACTGAGAGTACTATTCTAACAAATAAACTTCTGCAACACAAAATGTAATTGATTATTACCATTTATTCCATTCTATGTATTCCGAGTAGATCTTTATCATTCATTCGAACACAATTCTACTCACATATGTTGGTGTGTGTAGCTGAAAGATAAAATCGACCTAATCTACTGTTGACTACCTTTATAGATCAGTATCTGAAGAACGAATCTTAGCTTCATCACCAGAAGGGGATCGCCACTTGCGCATTTTCTTCACAAATGATAGGTTGCAATCATCCAACTCTAGCAGCTCGACAGACTCGAAACGATCCGGCATGGTTTTCAATTTGTAGCAATGCCTGACAATCACCTGTCTCAACCATGGAAAGGGTTTACCGTCAGATTGCCAATGCTCTATATCCAAGTCTTCCAACAACAGAACCTCAAGTCTAGGGAACTGTCCGTCACTCGTTTTCCACTCAGGGCCGCAACATGCATACCATCGTAGTTTGAGCACTGTGAGATTCGGTAATGCTGCAATAGCTCTCAGATTCTTCCACGGAAACCCACTTCCACTTAGACTTATCTTCAAAATGTCCACAGGAAAATTTGGAACGCAAGGAACAACCTGAGACATGAGATTAGGATTCACAACGACGTATTTGATCGATTCAAAATATTGATAGAGAGACACGAAATGACTGGAAAAACTGAAGGTTTCGATTGAGTCGTGTGCTGGCTCAATTTGAATGGCTATTCTCATTAGGTTGGGCATTCTCGAGAGAACTTCCATAGTACAACTGTGAACACTCACACCTGAAACTGTTAAAAGATTCTCAAGGATAAGATGAGAATCCTCCTCTGGAGGAGCAGGAAGGTCAAATCCCATGCAATAAAGTTGCTTTAGTTTTTTCATCTTCCAGACCTCTATAGGTAGATAAATCGGACCATTTGACAGTTTTATGTTATGATGTCGACAAAAAATCAATACTTGGAGGTTCCAAAGTTTGGAAATAGAGTTGGGGACGTCTCCGTCACACGTGATGGCAAGGTATGTTAAGTGAACTAATGCAAGAATTTGAAGTGGGAACTCGTAGAAGCGGATTGCAAGTGCATCTATTATCTTGAGCAATCTAAAACACATGGGCAACACTACTGGATATTGTTGTTTTGGACCGAAACAAAGAAGAGAGCGTACATCCAGAACTGATTCCATCCATTCATGCACTTGCCTGAAACCAAGAACAATGTTATTGTGAACGCAGAGACGCTGGTGGCTTCTCATTTTCTCTGGCTTACAGTCGGTGTACTTTTTCAGGATATGAAAAAACTTTTCACTCTTAGCTTCATTAACACATAGACTCCGAAAGGTGAAATGAAGTCTACACTTTTTAGTTTTCTCAATATCTATAGACGCCTGCTTTTCTCTCAAAACAATACTTCGGTAAATAAGTAGATCCAAGTATTGTCCGGCGATTTCTTCAATGGATGTAAGTCTCGGGTATGGATAGAGAAGACCCTCAGAAACCCATAATTTGATGAGCTTAGATCTAAAAATCCCATAATATTTTGGGAACACACCCATATACAGAAAGCATAGCTTTAGATATTGAGGCAACATCATGTAACTAAAATATAGTGCCTTTGAGAGGGGGATATCGTCATCTCTTTTGATGATGAGTGGATCTTCTTTTTCTGATAATGCTTGCCATTCATGGAATGATTTTCCACGCAGATCCTCCCCAACCTGTATAATTGCTGCGGGGAGTCCCTCGCAATTTCTGGCAATCTTCTTCCCAATTTTTTCAAGTTCTCGACTGCACTGCTCTTCAGGAGTCAATGCCGTCTCACGAAGTAGTTTCCAACTTTGGTCGTCCTTCAGTAACGGTAATAGGATAACCTTCGGTCGAATATAGTAGCTTTGGATCTGAGACATGACGATGACGCGACTTCCTTTTCCGTTATGTGGAAAACCACCATATTGTAGCTCATGCCACACATCCGCCCATACGTCGTCTAACACAATTAGATACTTTTGACTAGATAAAGCCTCCCACAATAGATGATTCACAAGTACTTGGTCATCAGAGGGGACAACGCCAAGTTGATTGAGAACAAGCAATTGAATTTCTTCCCATTGATTATAGTGTGGGCCGATTTGCACAAATAAACGAATTTCGAACTCGTCTATAACAAGTGGATCGCTATAAACTTGTTTAACAAGAGTAGTCTTACCTATGCCAGTCATACCCACAACTGAAGTAACAAGGACATTGGATATGGGATGCCAAATCCATTCTTTTAGTGTTTTTATTTGGTCATCCAATCCCACCAGATTTTGCTGTTTCTCAGTATAATCAGAAGAAGAAAAATAGTACCTTTGTTGGTCTTTGTCAGTGATCATCAACTTTGTGACGAACGAACTAAGTTCTTGTTCGACTATTGGCAGTTGTTGGGAGAGCAACAAAGTGAAACTGATGTGATCATCCATAGAAGAGCTGCTTTCAGATTGATCAGAAAGTACTAGATCCGACACACGGGATTTGATCAAACGTTCGAGTTTTTTGTACAACATCTTTGACTCGACTTTCGGAAGCCACATCAACTATGTTGATGCTAGGAAGGGACTGGATTTTTTCAAGAAATAAATCCAAATCATCATAGACAAACTTCACTTCTGAATTGGAAAGAAGGCTCTCCATTGTCAGCTTTAGGGAAAGTACGGCAGCATGAGCCATGTTACTCTCTCTCTCTCTCTCTCTCTCTCTCTCTCTCTCTCTCTCTCTCCAGCATTTATTTTTCATGTTCAGTTCATTTGTGCTCTTTTGGCTGTGTTTTTCTGGGGTTTGACATTTTGGCTCTTTCCTGGAAAATACTACTTACAACTAATAATATCTTACGATTTAATATTAATTCGCAGCCTGATACTTACAAATTGGTGCCTTAATTTTTGTGATATTTTATTTTGTTTTTCCAGAGTTTTGAGGCCAATAAGTTTGAATTTAAAGACTTGCACTTCTTACTTACGCATCAAGACATGTTTTATTATTTGGTGTTAATATTACACATTTGATTTGAGTTTATGGGCAGATTTTCTCAAGATATGGAAGTTGAATAAAGGCTAAACAAAACTCAGCTGCTCCTTGTGGGTCCCGTTGATGTTGAATTCTTCGAGGAAATTTCGTTAAATCTCTATGTCCAATACTTTGATAAGTCTCTTCTGAAGCTCTGTTTTGTTTTTCACTTTCTTGAATTTTGTGGATTGGTTTGAACCGTTTAGATATATAAAAAACTTGAAGTTTGAACCACGACGACCTTTGGAGAACAACTTTCGATCAACTGAACCCACACACAATTCCTGGAAAGTTTGTTTGTATTAATTAAATGAATATATACTTTAAACATTTGGAGTCCGAGGCCCAAGGCTATGGCCTTGCCCGCGGTGGGTTGGGTTGGGCCTAAATCTTCGATTTTTTATGATTTGGATTTATTTCTTGAAAAAATCCACATTTATAAATAATAAAAATATAGGGGTACATTTATAAATCGTAAAAAATATGTATAAGTCGTCATCGCATAAGAGAACCGCTCACCCTTGTTGCTCGTGTTCTTGGTCGCCGTCGCATGCTAGACTTTTGGAGTTTTGGGTGGACTCACAAAGAAAATAGAGGAAATGTGTATCACAGAGAAAAGAAAATGCACATTTTTTTTATTAGGGCTTTCTCTTAAAACGTAAGAGAAGTGTCCCAACTTTTTTAAAATTGTGGACACTGCCCGACACGGGTGTCCTACTTTTAGCAAAATTACGACACGGCCCGACACGGGTGTCCGAGAAGTGTCCGGGTGTGTCCGAGTGTCCAGGTATCGGATACGGGGACTCTTCACCTTCTAGAAGTGTCCGTGCAGCATAGATGCCAGCTTTAAGAGTTAAGAAAATTGTCTTAATTAACAAGTTATTTGTTTAACTACAAAGAGACCGTCTCAATCATCTGAATATCCCAATCAAATTATTTTCATCCCTAAACTTATGTAAACATGAAATTAACGGTATGCAACAAGTTTCGTTCCCGAATGTATTAGCCAGTGTAGGACTACTAACGGAAGATAATGGTACCATTGTCTGAAGCATGATTTTAAAGAGTGATGTTCAAGAACTCATCTCACCAACACAAGATATTATCAAATCAAGCATGGAATATATTGGCCCGGGTGTCTTGATTTTATTTTTCTTTATAATTGCGTCCGGATTACAAAGTAGCTGCTCGACTTCGTAATTGCTTGAAGCTATTTGTGGAAGAGGCTACTGCGGAGGAAACATTGGCAAGGTATATGGCATTCCTATTGTTCGATTACTACTATTTTTCTCGACATTAATTATTTCAAGGAAATCTAAATTAGCAAAGCCTGTCGATGTTAATTTTGTTTCAATCTTACACATTGTAATTACTTTTAGCTGAAAGGATGCTTAATTTGGATAGACCAAACATCAAATACAATAGTACTTAAAATTCACCCTTAAAACAAAAATAAAACGAATCACTAACCTTGTCAAGAATCATTATGGTAGTCATGACTGGATCTCTCCATCAACCCATGAAGAATGGGCATAAAGTTTCAGTGAACGTTTATGCTAATCGCACTTGTTGCCCCAATCACGCGTTAACTTGTTTGCCCAATTCACAACCATAGTACATAGGTTGAATAAATCTTTAGGGGTTTTTAGAATATTTTAAAAGATTGCATGGGTCTTAGTGCAATTTTCTCAATGAAAAATCCCAAATTTATCCCTAATTCAACAGTTGACCGTTACTTTTTGACGGTCAAACAAACGGAGGGATTCAATGTATTAAAATGTGACAACATTAGTCTGTATTTTGTTGACGGCGATAAATGGGGGACCAAAAGTGAAAAATGTGCAAATTTGGAGACCAAAACCGTAATTATCCTTTTATACTACATATTATAGTTATGTGTAACTAGTGTACCCAAGTAATTTAGTTTAGCCCACCCACCACAAACTTTGTGTTATAAGTTATATTATAACTTTGTAGTTATTATGTGATATTTTATGTGAATGGAATCAAAAATAAAAATAAAAAAAATCTCGGAGGCGCTACCCACGAAACCCCGGTAAATGTTAAACCCACCCTATCTCCAATTACTGGCTCCGCCACTCATGACAAGTGACAACAGTGTTTTATACTGACTCAACTCAGTCAATGATTTCAGTCTTGTGGCAATAAATACTGATGAAAAGACCCAACTTCTACGGCACATCTTGAATAAATGTACCTTTATAATGTTTTTATGGTCGATAGAAATAATAAATTATGTGCACATATTTTTTAAGTTTGAACCCTTTCCTGGAAGCCAGTCACATAATATTATATACAGAAAATTTACAAGTGTCTGAAAAAAAAATGATTTGAGCACTTTCTTGGCATTTTTAGGAAGGAAAAAAGTTTATATAAACAGATTTCCTTATCCCAGTTGTCGCTCTGTCGACTGGCTGGTACAGTGGAGGGTCGAGATGCCTTAACAACGTTGTCATAAGTGGTAATGGAAGGAGTGTGACGGCTATGGTGGTTGACGAGTGTGATTCTACAATGGGTTGTGATAAAGACCACGACTATCAACCCCCTTGTCGTAATAACATCGTTGATGCATCGAAGGCTGTCTGGAAAGCTTTGGGAGTTCCCGAAAATAACTGGGGAGGCTTGGATATCACTTGGTCCGATGCCTAGTTAGTGCAGTTTCTTATATATATATATATATATATATATATGTGTGTGTGTGTGTGTGTGTGTGTGTGTGTGTGAATCATGTATATATATATTAATGTAATCCCTTCTTGTTTCACACTTTTATTTGTTTTATAAATTGCAAATACACCGTGTAATTAGAATTTGCTAAAAAGTCCGCTGTGATTAGGTGTTTTATACAACAAAAAAAGAGCCCTTTTGTAAGATGAAAAAGGATTGAGTGAGTTATATAAAACACTTTAAAGGGGAACTTTGTAGCACATTCCGATTACGGGTTGTGTTTGCACTTTACTCTAAAATTCTTATTGCAAGAATGGTTGGGTTGTAGGAAAAGCCTTGTCAAATTGCTCGGTTGCAAGCGTTAAGCAACTCGGGTGTTGGGGCATCATCAGTCCAAAAGCAAGTTCATTCGAGCATCAACAAATAATCGTTTTCATAAAGTCTCCCTCAATCTCAATCGACACCAACAAATGCATGTAAAAGTCAACAACTAAAAACGAAAACAACATCCGCATATCAGTATTTCAGTTACCTCAAACTTCATAGCATTCTGTATGAAACCAGAATACTCAAAATCTTCATCTAAAAATAAATAAAAATAAAAAATAAAAAAAACTGATAGCCACATAACAAGATCCATTACAACACAATTCTTGATCAACGAGAAGCAGCAATACGTCTATAAACAGCTCGAAAAGTCTGCCCTTCATTCCTCGCAACTTTCTGCCCTTCCTCAGTCGCACTGCTCAAAAGCTCCACAACGGGATCGGCTTCAAGCTCACTCTCCGAAACAGCCTCGAACAAAGGATGACCATCCAAACAAGCGTTCATCCACACACCGAGCTCCTCCACATCAGTAATCGTATATATAATCCCACCAACCCTGAGCACATACGCATACTCATCCAACAAATGCGGACTAATCACCCTTCTCCGATGATTCTTCTCCTTGAAATGAGGATCCGGAAATAAAAAGAACATCTTCGTTAGCTGTCCTTTCTCGAAGTAGTTCGGAATGTACTTCATCGAATTAGTCCTGACAACGGACACGTTTTCGTACTGGCCTGGATTAGAGACCCTCAATGCAAGAACCCTTTCTTTAACGTACTCCGTCACTTTGTCCCGCAGTTCCATCCCGATCATAAGTTTATCGGGAAAGAGAACCGAAAGGCTAATCAAAAGCCCACCAAATCCACAACCAATATCAGCAAATTCAATCTTTTGGGAACCATTGGTTTTATTTGGTGGGAAGAACTGAGGGTAGTGAAGGGCGCAATCGAACTGAGCTGGGGAGGCTGGAACCGGGAAATGTGAGTCGCTCAAGGGATTGCTGTGGGCCCGAGCTCGATAGAACCGCTTACGTGGAAGGCCGGTCGTCTTGCTGTGGGTATGGTTTGCGATAGATTCTTGCTCCAACATTTTTTTTTCGCCTTCCTTTCTTACGCACTGCAATATTTGCAAATCGCAACGCACTTAATCAAATCGCAAACCGAGAATGAACAGAATGTATGTACTACTAAAAAAAAAAAAAAAAAAAAAAGCCCTAATTCGGGAGGGCGCATTCAACACCAAATTCATCAAAAGAAATTACACTATCAATTAAATACCTTTATAAATTATAACCGTACCAAATTCACAGGAAATAAACTAATTGACAAAAATATTTAACGAATTTCTCTAAAAAATTCCATTATCGATTAAATAGATTTATAAATCGTAACCGTCCATTTCGGTTTCCCTATTGACAATCATGTGTTCCAGAATGAGAAGCGAACAGAAGCGATGGAGGAAAATTGGTGTAAATTGCAGAACGTGAAAAAGGTTTGAATTTACAGTGAACCAAATAGTAAAGATAAAAAAAAAAAAAAATTATTTATACAGAGACAGAGAGATATGTATATACCTTTGAGCAGTTCGCCTCGCCGAGAAGCAAAATTAGGGATTTGGATTTGGATTTGGGGCTTTTGCGACTGAGTGAAAATTGATGGATTAGGGCGGCGTTTGCTGCGATATTGAAAGTTTGTCATGTAATCTTGGTTAATAGCATTTTAGTCCTTAATATTTGTATCAAATATCACCCAGTCCCTTAAGATTTTTTAATTTCGCGTGACGCACCCTAAAGTTTTTTCTTTGTTTTTTTTTTTTCTTTTTTTTTTTTCAAGCAGAAAAACCAACTTCCATTAGACTATTTCAAAAGGAGGGAAGTGTTACAAAGTCTGTTGGTACATCTAACAAAAGAGCAAAAACGATCCTTATACAAGGGTTCAAAAAGACAAGCTGGAGCAGTATCAAAAAACACAGCTTTGTCAGGATTTAGATGCACCAAGTTTAGCAAGTGTGTCAGCAACACCATTAACTTCCCTATAACAGAACTTTATGCTGACATGCTCGAATTCTTCAATCATTTATGTTGCGTCCTGGAGCAACGTAAGCATTTCGGTGTGATGATTATCCTTCCTGTTAAGAGAAGATAAGAGATAAGATGAATCAGTTTCAATAAGAATGTTATCAATATCCATATCTTTTGTGATTTTTAATCCCATATAAAAGGCCCAAACTTCGACTTTATTATTCGAAGCAATACCAATATTCTTGGCAAAAGCAGTAATAAAATCACCAGATTGATTACGAATAAACCCCCCACCCCCACATACATGCTATACCTGGGTTATAAAGAGACGAACCATCAATATTAAGTTTAAACCATCCCTCAGAGGGCGGTGTCGAGTTCATGTTAATATTTTTGTTGGATGGTATTAACCTTCGGATCTTTAGGTACCAAGTACTTGCCAATATTTAACCAATTTTTTGTATTATTGATAGGTTTGTTTTGGAAGATAGCTTCGTTACGAGCTTTCCAGATGAGCCAAAAAAACAACAGCAACTTTGTTCGATAGAGATGGTTGGTGGGATAACGAGTAGAACATATTACATAAATGTAACTCGGGCATTGTAGGCAAATGTGATACGAACCCCGTAGAACTTGTTACGGGACCCAATAATCTTATGCGGAAGCAAGAACGGAACGTCCAAAAATAAAGGATTCGATTGGCGGAATTCGGAATATTGACCCCGTAGCTATAGAGAGCTAGAAACCAATATTATCAAGGTGGAAGTATTGACCCCGTGATTATAATGAATCAGAAACCAATACTATATTGCTAAGAATAATTCACAAGAATCCACTCGCAAAATATCCCGAAGAGTTGTTGAAGAACAACGAAGGAGAATTTTAATCTCTCAAAATAATACTTAAAAACGTCCAAATAATAATGACCCTAAAACAACCTATTTATAAGTGTCAAAGAGACCTAATCTAACAAGGAAAATAAATCCTAACTTATCTATTATAAGGAAATAACGCAATAAACTAAATCTAGTCCAAAGAGGACTCTAAATAACAAGAAATAAATTGTCCAATAATAAAATACGAAAATTAATAATAATCATCTTTTCCAAGTCACGTCTTCTTGGCTGGATGACTAGACGAGCTCAAGTCCTTGAGCTCGGCTTGCTTCACAATCTGGCCCGATAATTCGCTCCAATTAAGCTCAGCTAGGATCGAACTAGACTTCGTCAACTCTTCATTTTGGAGCTCGTGTTCTACTAAGTTAAGCATGGCTGCTTCAATGCGCTTGGCCCGAGCTCGGGTAATCGGTCCTCTTGGCACATGCAGCTCGTCCAAGTCATCAACTCCTTCATCCAGCTCGGCACTACCTCGCGTAATTGGCTGGATCGTATCATCCTCCCCCTCTTGAAAATGATTCGTCCTCGAATCTGAACCTACATCAAACGGAGATAGGTCAGAAACATTAAATGTCGAACTAACTTGATACTCACTTGGAAGGTCGATCTTATAGGCATTATCGTTAATCTTTTCCAGCACTTGGAAAGGTCCATCTCCTCGTGGCTTAAGTTTTGAACTTCGTTGATTGGGAAACCTTTCCTTTCGAAAATGAACCCGCACCCAATCTCCTTGCTGAAAGGTAAGGTGCTTTCGCCCCTTATTAGCTCGGTTCGCAACTTGCTCATTCCTTTTCACAATGTTCTCGCGTGCTTCTTCATGGATTTTCTTCACTAACTCAGCCTTACGCTTCCCATCTAGACTTGAAATCTCATTAACAGGTAAAGGCAACAAATCCAAAGGAGTTAGCGGATTAAAACCATAAACAATCTCAAAAGGTGTAAACTTTGTAGAAGAATGCACCGATCTATTATACGCGAACTCAATAAAAGGAATACATTCCTCCCATGACTTTAGGTTTCTCTTAAGAACAGCTTGCAATAACATACCTAAAGTTCGATTAACCACCTCAGTTTGACCATCGGTTTGTGGATGACAAGTAGTTGAAAAGAGTAAAGTCGTACCTAACTTACCCCACAAAACACGCCAAAAGTGACTAAGGAATTTAACATCCCTATCACTAACAATAGTACGAGGTACCCCATGCAATCACACTACTTCGCTAAAGAATAAATTTGCTACATGCGTAGCATCATCAGTTTTATGACATGGAATGAAGTGTGCCATTTTAGAAAACGATCTACCACAACAAAAATAGCATCTCGACCTTTACTAGACCTCGGCAACCCTAAAACAAAATCCATTAATACATCGGTCCAAGGGTGAGTAGGAACAGGTAATGGCATATATAATCCATGTGGTTTAACCCTAGATTTAGCTCGCCTACATGTTAGACACTTCGAACAAATCCTCTCAACATCTCGTTTCATACGCGGCCAAAAGAAATGTTCTTTTAAAATATCTAATGTTTTAGAAACACCAAAATGTCCCATTAAACCACCGCCATGTGATTCTCGGACAAGTAATTCACGAAGCGAACAATTAGGCATGCAAAGTTTATTCTCCCTAAACAAATAATCATCATGCTTGTAGAATTTTTCAAAAGTTCCTTTTTGACATGCAGCAAATATAGTAGCAAAATCATGATCATTCACGTACAGCTCCTTAACATGCTCAAAACCTAAAAAATTAGAACTAAGGGTCGACACGAGAACATACCTGCGAGATAGTGCATCGGCTAGGACATTATCTTTACCTTGTTTGTACTGTATCACAAAAGGAAACATCACGATAAACTCCACCCACCGAGCATGTCTTCGGTTCAGCTTGCCTTGGCCCTTAAGATGCTTTAGCGACTCGTGATCTGTGTGTATTACGAATTCCTTAGTCCACAAGTAATGTTGCCAAGTCTCCAAAGCTCGCACCAACGCGTAGAGCTCTTTGTCATAGGTCGAGTATTTCAAGGCTGCGCCGTTGAGCTTCTCGCTGAAATAAGCGATAGGTCGCTTGTCTTGCATAAGCACTGCACCAATACCAATTCCAGAAGCATCACATTCGATTTCAAAAGTTTTAGAAAAGTCTGGTAAAAGTAATAAAGGAGCGGAACTTAGCTTATCTTTCAAATTGCGAAACGCATTCTCTTGCGCCTCGTCCCACTTGAAGCCAACCTCCTTCTTGATCACCTCGGTTAAAGGTGCTGCAATTGTGCTGAAGTTCGGTACAAATCTCCTATAGAATCCCGCTAGACCATGGAAGCTTCGCACCTCGGATGCGTTCTTGGGTGTTGGCCATTCACGAATAGCTTTAACCTTTTCCTCGTCCACTTCAACGCCCCTAGAACTCACAACAAAACCAAGAAAAACTATCCTATCTAGGCAGAAATCACACTTCTTTAAATTAGCATATAATTGTTCTTGCCGTAAGGACTCCAAAACACACCGCAAATGCTCAACATGATCATGCAAATTATTGCTATACACTAAGATATCATCAAAGTAAACAACAACAAATTTTCCTATGTAAGATCGCAGAACATGATTCATAAGTCGCATAAACGTACTTGGTGCATTAGTTAAACCAAAAGGCATCACTAACCATTCATACAATCCATGCTTAGTTTTAAATGCAGTTTTCCACTCATCTCCCTCTTTCATGCGAATTTGGTGATAACCACTTTTCAAATCAATTTTAGAGAAGATAATGGAACCATGTAGTTCATCTAACATGTCATCTAATCGAGGAATGGGGTGTCGATACTTTACCATAATTTTGTTGATGGCTCGACAATCAACACACATTCTCCAACTCCCATCCTTCTTCGGTACTAGTAACACATGCACTGCACACGGACTCATGATTTCTCGAACGTGTCCTTTAGCTAACAGGTCGTCCACTTGCCGTTGTAACTCCTTCGTCTCCTCGGGACTACTTCGGTAAGCTGGTCTATTTGGAATTTGGGACCCTGGAATAAAATCAATTTGGTGCTCGATCCCTCGAATTGGTGGCAACCCCGTTGGCATCTCGTCCGGAAAGACATCATCGAACTCCTGCAAAAGAGAAATAACAATACTAGGCAAAGAAGAATTAAGGTTAGCATTAGAAAAATAGGACTCCCTAAACACTAACAACATCATTGTTCTCTCACCCTTACATGCACTCTTAATCTCTCTTTCTTTTGCATAAAAGCTCACTTTTCTCTCATCTTTATTTATTAAGTTTGCACTCTCTTCTTTTTCTTTTCTCACTTCGGCTAAACTCTCTTGTTTTACCTCTCCACTACTACTAACACGTTCATTCTCATGTTGTTTTGAACTTGCAGCAATGGATTTCTTGATTTCTCTCTTTTAGGCTTTTGCAACGATTCTCTCACCATGCTCGCTGGATAACTCCTTTGCGATTCCCACCTCGGCGAACTCCGTTCTTCTAACTTAGTAGCTTGCCTCAACCTTTCCAATTGTAAGTCCCTATAATATTGTGAAGGGACGAACCTCCTTCTCATGATTGCCTTCATGGACTCCCAATCTTCAATTGGTGGTTCGCCACAGCGGCGCCTAGTTAAGACAAATTGATCCCACCAAGTAATTGCATAGTCAATGAACGCTTCGACGGCGAGCTTCACTTTCTTCTTTTCGGAATAGTAATCAGAATCGAATACGTGCTCAACCTTTCTTTCCCATTGAATGTACGCCTCGGGATCACTCTTACCTGGAAAAGATGGTATAGTCAATTTCATTGAGCTAAGGTTCGATCTAAGCCATCTCTTTCTCGACCAAAATATCCTCGGCTCGAAGTTTCAAATCGGAACC